AAAATCACTAATTAGCATACGGAGTCCTTAAAAGATTTTTTTCTTTTGCACTTTAAATGAATTTTTTTTCCATTGTTTTAATAACATTACACTATACATTAAAAAATATACATACATTAAAAAAATATTGCTTAAAATCGTAAAAGCAAAGTGTTTTATTATGTCTACATAAATACATATTTTAATATGTTCACAATGCTTAGAATATTAACACTTTACTGTTCTGTAAGCGACTGTATTACTTTGTTATCCCCCAAAAGTGCTTTGCTCATCAGTTGAGGTCCCTGTTTCTGTTCCTCAGATGATTACGTGATGTCACACGATGCCCAATTGCGCATTCATTTCATAGAATTCCTATTTGAATGGTGCCATCCCGAGAACAAAAACTATTTTCGAAAATATTTGTTTGTTACTCAAATCTCTACAATGTTGTTACCCGTTCGGCGAATGTGGTGCTGGGCAATGGATGTCCGAGTATGATCAAATTTTGACTCTGCCTTTTTTTTGTGCTTTGGCAGTCGTTATTTGATCGCAACCAGAAACGAGTAGCCGATGTGTTGGTGGGCGGGGGGTGTGAGGGGGCGGTTTGGCAGGAGGGGGGCGGCGGTCCAAGGTCAGCGCGTCTCTGTGTTGCTCGCGCTGAATAATTAAGTGCGAAATAAATTAATTTCGGTAGAACTTTTTAGCATGCGTTGTGTGGCATTTTAGTCAACAGCCAGCATACAGCGAAATATGAAAATTTATTATATTTATCAAGCAGTTTAACCATCTCGAATGGCAAACAAGAAATTATAGCTCCTAATAGCCGGGCAAGGTCAAATCAGAGCATGACTCAAGACGAAATGTGCGTGGGCAGGCCAAAATTGATTAAAAAAGTTAAAAAGAATTTTTATATGAGTTTTCCAATAAATCGAAGAATTGATATTTTTTAAAATAAAAAACCTAAGCCAAAACTACTAAACAAATTTAAGCATTTTATCTATTTCATTTAATTTTCAAGTCAGTCTCTAAAGGATGATATGTAGGTTAAATATATTACTTGTTATAGTTTTGTAAGTCCGAAAACAAAAACTTTAATATTCTTATAGTATATTTTAGAATTTAGTTAAATTTTAAATGTAAATTAAATGGTTGCTAATTAGAAAAAACGTTTTTATAAAATCCATTTTATAATTTATTAATTTAAGTGTCATGTACTCATGAAATATTATTAATTTTATTGATAAGTATATGGACTATTTAATTACTATTGAAACTTCATCACAAGTATTTAACTTTTATAGCTTATAATTAATATATTCTAAGTATATTGATCAGAAAAATTATTATTTATTAAATTATGTAAATATTAAAATCACATTTACTAAATATTTTATGAGAACTTATTTCTTATCGTGACCCAATACTTGTAACTTTTATAGGAAAGAAATGTTAATTGGTAATTGGTGACCAAATGCACTTGTGCCACTTTCATCACTAAAGATAACTAAACTGCAAAATGCAATAGTAAAAAAAGTTCAATCATCAACTTTAAGCGAAAGCAAAAACTAAATGGAAAACCAGGCGATGCACAGTGGAATGCAACAGGCGGCGATAAGGAGCAGGAAATTTCTGGGGCAGGGACTACTTATATTTGTGGGGAGCTTATTTAATTTATGGGGATTTTTAAGCAAGTGATTTAATTGCACATTTCTTTTAAGCCGAACTACTGACCCCGAAATCAGCCCCCTGTGTCCGCCTCTGTTTATTAGGGGTACTCAGCGAGTGGGGCACACAGTTTTGTGAAAGTTGCGGCGCGAAAGTGAAAACTGATTTGAAGCTGAAAATGTTAAGACGGCGCCGGAGACATGGAAACCCACTGACATCAATTCCGCGGCTGAATGAAAAGAGGGGGGAGAAAATCAGAAAATTAAGCTGGCGGCACAATAATTGAGTATCCAAATGTTTGAGCAACTGGAGCCGTCTTTATGTCACAGCAATTAAATTATTTCAGGCGAGCGCTGAGCAACAAGTAAAAATAAACGCTAAAACGAATTATATTTATTTGCATTTATTTGCCATAACAAAGCACACAAGCACACGTTTGAAACAAAAAAAAGAAAATACGAATATATTGAAACAAAACCCGAACGACCTTGAATGGCTGGCCTGCAGGCAAAACAGGCAAAATAGGAACATTAAAAACGTTAAAAAATTAAAAAATATAAATTAAACGAAATGCAATTAAGCCCACAAAAACAGATACAAATAAATATAAATAGAGACTGAGTTGGCGACAGCAAGCAACTGTTTTGTGTTTAGAACTTCAACTTCACATTATTTATTTGTATAGACCAGTTAAGCAAATAAAAAACAAGACTTGACCAAATAAATCTATTTGGGCTTTTAAATGCCCTTTCCACTAAAAAAAATGTATCAAATTAAGTTTTTAAGTGGTTCTATCTCATACAACTTTGTTATATGATTTTTAACAACTAAAAACATTTAGAGTATGAGTTCTACTGCTCATTCTATTAAATATTTTTCTTTCATTATAATCAAAAGTTTTTATTTTTTTAAACACAAAAGCACCCATCTAAAATAATGGGTTAAGGAAGGGTTAGTTGTCAGGTTTCTTAAAACTAATTTCACAAATGACTGTGAATGAGATAAGAATTGATGTTTTAGCTGTTGTTCAGTGACGATTTATTTTTTTCCGAAAATTATTTAATTAATTTAATTTAAAATTATTTGATGTTTAATATGAAATTTTGTATGAGCTTAACTTTTTCTTAAGAATAATAATATAGTCGATTTTAAAATTTCATGTAAACCGGCAGTTCACTTTAAGTTGAGCCATTTTTCCTCACCAAGTAAAAAAGTCTCAAAACAAGTTATTTAAATTTAAATTTGTATATCTAAATAAGATAGAAGTTGAATAAATAAAATATAGTTAAATTCTATATTAAATAAAATTGAATATTTTTTCTTTTGAATCATATAACAAAAGCAATATATTAAAGAAGAAAAGAAATGGTACTACTTTTACGACTTCTCAACTTTATTGATTCTTCCGGTGCTTATATTTTTCAGAAAGTTCTTATCGGACTTTGATACGTCGGTTCTCATTCACCTTTATTTCAATTCCGACTTTGGTGATTTGCATTTGTACTTATTTTGTACCTGTATGGGGTATTTGTATCTGCATTATTCATGGCAACTCGACATGGAGATAAAAAATAAAACGAAAAACGCAAGCCGCCCGTTTTGGGTCATGATGACGTCCACTTGGAAGCCGCGTGCCGGCTTCAATTCCCCTCGATTTGGTTTGAATGCATCCAAATGCAATGTGCACTTGGACATGCAACGCCGGCGTGAAAAAGAGTGCACCCAAAAACAAAAAAAAGAAAAGAGGCCAGAATAATCGCGCCAAAACACATGGCAAAAACTTTGAGGCTGATGACTAGCCCAGAGTACCAGCCAAACAAAAAGTTCAAGATACAAAAAGAGATACGAAAACATAGGAAGCGAAGAGAGATGCTTTTATAAAGAGAAAATAAGTAAAAAGCTTTTTCTCTGTTTTTTTTCTGTGGTGGAATTGAAAATTTAAATTCATTTAAGAGCAAAATCAGGCTGCAAACCGTTAAAAAAGCTCCAAAACCAGCGCAACTTGAAGAATGTTTTTAATTTTAAATTGGTTGTTTTTCAATAACTCAAAGTATCGACACTTTGAAATGCAAATAGATACATACGAGTAATTAAAATACGGAAAAACTTATTAACAAAAAAAACTATCAAAACATAAAGCAACTTAATCATAGAATTTAAATAAAAATTATAATAAATAATAACTTTAAATGCGAATATCCGTTCTGGAGTTTAAATAAATATTATATATCATTATAATGGAATAAAAAACGCAAAGCTTAATAAAAATAGAATTAGAGAAATAATTAAAGCAAATTAATACATGTTGAAAACGATTATTATTAGGCTTAGCCGAACTTTTGATATTTTCAGCAAAAAATTTACTTTCCACCGAGAATCTTAAGATGAACGATTTATATCTAATTAAGTTGTAAACGGGAAATACCAGCGTTATCGCCAGATTTGTTTGGGCAGCGCAACCTTGAATTCAATCAGATTTGGTTCAACGATAAGTTCCCCGCTGATAATCCTACACACTGCAATTAAACAGCACCGATACCCTTTATCGCATCTTTTGCTATCAGGTTTCGCCGGAATATACAAAGTATCTGGCAGATACGATTTCTTTTGTTTCTCCGCCACCAACTGTACTGCGTTCTGTGGCGCTGCTTTTAATGCTACACCCTAGCACCAACACCCCCCCATCAACCCATCGCGTTCTCCGATAGCGGCGGCAATCGACGACCTTGACCGTGAAATTTAAATTTAGAAGCTAAGACGTAAAAAATAAAATACCACCGAGCTTTCCGAAGCTATCTTTGAATGTGTATTAGTCATTGTGTGTTCTGGTAATTGCAAAAAAAAGCTGCGCTCTACCACAGGTAATTTCCTTAGGCCCCGCTAACTCCCCCCTCCCCACACCCAATGATGCCGATTCAAAAAGAAATTTGGCCAGCTCACGAGTGCGCCGCATGTGGCTTATGTAAATATTATTGTGTGGCTGGCACCTATTTTTAAAAACGATTTAATTGAAACATGAACTTGCGTGCTGGCGCCGTCGAGACTTGGGCAATGATGTAAAACCGTCTAATTATGTGAAATTGAGTGCAACGCTAATCGGTGCAGGGCGAATTTAGCTAACGAAAGGCTAAAAATAGTGGCTTTGTTTTTAATTAGCCGTTTATTAGATGGGTTTGAAAATGCCGCCAACTTGTGGTGTTGGCTAACGAAATAAGGGTATTTTATTTGGTATTTTTCGCATTAATTTTGTAGTTAACAATTGTCAGTGCTAGAAAGTGGCGCGAAAAGATTTTTTTTTTAAATTTACCGCCAAGACAATTGATACTTCGTATCAGCTGATGAGTCGTGGAAAACTCAAGAACTCCCATCCCTAATAAACAGTCTGCGTGATACAAACCAAAATAAAATATTCTAGAACACGCTTTAGTTGACTGTTTAACAGTTGAATTAAGCTTAAACTAGTTCAAAAAATACCATTTAATTATTATCTAGGAACAGTTTCTTTTATAAAGTATAATCTTTCACTATAAACAAGTCGGCTTTTTAACACGTGGAGCACGTGGAGAAGAGATAATTGTTTACTGCAATAATTTTAACAATTTCATCACAAATTCTTGGGATAATGGTGTCCGAAATATTCAGTGAATATTATATATGCAACTTCAACGATGCTGTGGCCGTTGAGGGTGAGTATAACGAAAAATAATAGTTAAATACCGGATTATAATACGAGTTTCCCCAGATCTGCCGGCCGATGAGCAACTGCGTCAATTGTGGACCCGCCAGAAGCTATGGACATTGGAGGATCTGCGCGAGATCCTTCAGCGCTGGCGGGAAAAGGGAAAACCCGATCTTAAAGACGATCCCGCTTCGCAACTCAACGATTTCCTGAGGCTGATCTTCGCCTTTGTTCAAAACAATTTTACTGGACCCTTCGACCAATTGGAAGCTTTACAGCAAATTCATAGTCAACTTAACCTGGAGGATATGGATGCACAGGAAAAACTTAAAGCCAGCGGCGAGGAACTGAATCCGAATGTTAAGACTGGAGAACTATTGCTTGTGGCCAGGGAAATACTTCAGGGATTGCTGAAAAGCCATCCCGAATCGAAGGTTGCTTGGATTAGTTATTGTCACTTAATGTTTATTAACAAGCCTTGATTTTAGGTGCTGACGTGGTGGCATTTACGACTAATCCTGCTGCATCAGCATGTGCTGGATGATCTGGCGGCTTCACTATACGAACAATTCAAAACGGCAGCTGGGCTTCTTCAGGCCCAAATCAACCAATTTGAGAGCAGGGAACTGCAGGCACTGCTGCTGCTGGAGTTGGCCAATGGTTATCTGCAGTTTCATCGGTCCGAAATGGCCTCCCAACTGCTGGATGACCTGTGTAACCATCTCCAGGTGGAGCTGAAGGTGGAGGGTTTGCTGGGAGTACGAACCAAATTCCAGCAGAAGGCTCTGCCGCAGCTCTGCCTGAAAGTGGAGCAGCTGAAGGAGCAGGACAGCCTGCCCCCAGCCATCCGTACAAATGAGAAGGCCAAGTTGCCCAAGCTGCTCCTCTTGGAGGATGACACGCGACTGGAGCGGATACGCTTTGTGGACCTAAAGGATAACGAAGTGATGACGCTGCCCAGTGTGCTCCAAGCTCTGGTGCTGGCCAAGGTGTGAGTATGGAGAAATGTCAATGGATTGTACTGATATCTACCTCATTCCTTCATACAGAAAACAATTAAAACGTTCACAGCCCAAGGATCGCCTGGCGGATGAGCAACTAGAGCCATATACACAAACCCTGCTCTACCAGGAACATGGACCTTTCCAAGTGCGCCAGGCGGCCCTTCTCCTGAACTGCCTGCAGGAATCGGGACAGCGGAGAACCGTCGAACGCAGCTGGAAGCAGTGCGAGGAGTGCGTGAAGCTGCTGGACAGCTCCGAGGAGGAGCTATCGCTTCGATCCCGGCTCTCCTACGGCTTCGCCGCCCACCTCAGGCCCAAGTGGCAAGTTCAGCTGCAACTTGTGGATCTACTGCGATCCCTGGGCATGACCAAGACCGCTCTGGATATCTGTCTTCGCATACATGCCTGGCAGCAGGTCATCGAGTGCTACACGAGTCTGGAACTTCGTCACAAAGCGGCGGAGATTATCCGCCAGGAGCTGGAGAAGAAGCCTACGGCTTTGCTATACTGCCTGTTGGGCGATGCCATCGATGAACCACAGTTCTACGAGCAGGCTTGGTTGCATTCCAAAAAAACAAGCGGAAAAGCTCAAGCCTATTGGGGCAACTACTTTTACAGGAGTGCAGATTATACCCAGGCCATGGATCACTTTGAAATCTCGCTGGAGATAAACAACTTGCAGGAGGGCATCCTTTTGCGCTGTGGCTACTGCGCCATCCAGCTGGAACGCTGGGAGGCGGCCGTCAAACATTATCTAGCTTACACTCACCTGGAGCCAAATGGCTTTGAGTCCTGGAACAATCTAGCCAAGGCTTTGATTAAACTGGGTGACAAGCAGCGAGCCCATCGCGTTTTGGGTGAAGCCCTTAAGTGCAACTACAGCAACTGGAAAGTCTGGGAGAACTATATGCTGGTGGCCGTGGATACATCCCATTGGGAGGATGCCATGCGGGCGTACCAGCGTATGGCGGAGCTTAAGCAGCACTATCTCGACCAGGAGGTGCTCACTCGGATTGTTTATGGCATTTCCAAGGAAGATCCCGCCGGCTCTGGTTCTCTGATCAAGAGGCTCATAAAGCTGCTGGGTCAGCAGAGCATTCAGCACGGGAATGAACCTCTCGTTTGGGAACTGGCCGCCTTGGTGGCTCCAACACCGCTGAAAAAGGCGGAGAAACTGGTGAAGTCGTATCGTGCATACACACCGAAACATTTGGGATGGGAAACCAAATCGGAGCATGCCTTGAAGGCGCTGGACCTTTGTCTTGAGGTCTGTGAGCTCTCTGAGGCGGCCATCAAGGAGCACATCCCGGATGAAAGCGAGGTAATGATTACGTCTCAGCTTAACTCAGCCAGATTGGCGGGCACATCTTGTTTGAATGCACTGAAACGGGCCATCAATGTGGATGTGCCGGCAGAGCAGACGGAGAAGGTGGAGCAGCTGGAAAAGCGGATCCAAGAGTTGACAAAAATTGTGCAGGACCGTATGAACGCGCCTCGATCTTAGTTGTAAACTAATTTGTATCTGGCTGACCAATAAACCCTGTTTTGTATTCTATATGAACATTTATTTCGTTCTTCTTGATCATTTTACGTGATCTGTTTAATGCTAGTTTTGATTAGTGTAATATTTTTTGAGGTCAAAGCAGCTCATCTTTTTTTTTGGTCGTGTGTGCAAATGAGCGTTAAGGAATACAAGTTTTCTGCACTTCAGGCAATTAAATTCAATATCATATTCATAAAAATAATAGCCTATGCATTTACATTTACCCATGATCCGATATCACAAGTATGGGACGTTTCTTGTTTCATAGATTTCTACTCCTTAATATGTGTTTAGTTTGGTGGTTATCAAAACCCGAACACTCTGATCAAAGGCACCACAGACAGCTAGGCCCAGTTTATCCGGATGCCAGTCCAAGCAGTGAACCGGCTGCGTGCTTAACGTGGCTGCACTGACCATGTTCAGGGCCCCAGCCACTCCAACCTTGTTGCCATCCGAATCATCGATGACCCTCTTATCGGGGTACTCGTACTGCCACAGACGAATAGAGCCAGTTCCTCCGCCCGTGATAAAGATATCCCTGTTCTGGGGCAGATGACGCACTACCCACACGGTGGCCTTGGGTCCGCTGATCACGCCGTTCGTGCCCACGCTGCGCCCGGCGTTACGCTCCTCCACATAGCTGAATCCCTTGGTCGGGTGCTGGGTTCTCATGTCGTAGACAAGCAGGCCACCCTCCAAAGTGGTCACCGCCAGCTTGTTCATGGGAATCTCCCGGCGGTCGAACTCCAGACCGCAGATTCCGTTCTTCATGGTGGCCTCCCAGCGGATGGAGAGCGATCGTAGATCGAATATCTTCAGATCTCCGTTGTCATAGCCGGCGGCAACGATGCGCTCCTCGGCGTTATAGGTATTCCCGAAGGCCACGGCCCAGCAGTCCCGGCGAGCGTTACTTTGGTTGACACCATCGCCCATTTGCGGCGGCGGCGACATATCGACCACAGGGGCCTGCCCCTGACGGATGTCCCAGACCTTTACGGCGCCATCCCGGCTACCGGTGACGATTTCCGGCGCCCCGCAATCGATCTGAGTGCCCCCGATGGCATCGATGGTATTGATGATGCCACTGTGGGCCTTGACATTGTACACTGGCAAATCTGGCTGCTCCATGTCCCTGAAAATAGCACGTGTTAAGAGTGTGTTGCGATTGGTTTAATACCAACTATTCCTACAGAACTTGCAGCCTGCCCTCGAAATCTCCGATGGCCATGTGGCGGTTCCTCAGAGAAGCAGCTCCGAAGGTGCCGCATTTGAAGGCCACCTTCTTCTCCACGGACTTCACCTTCACCAGCTTGTCCTGGTTGAGTTCGTAGATGTCCATAATTCCATGCCCATTTGCCTTGGAGCCCAGAACCACAAATTTGGCGGAAAGTGGGACCCACTTTGTGTCGTACACCGTGTAGTTGACCGCCTCGTGCAGGTGCTCAATCAGCTGGGGCTTCTCCATACCGATGTTCTCTTTTTTATGCAATTATTTTAGTAACATTCCCAAAGTCCGGTGAAAAGTTAAGGTTTTATCAGAAAAGAAACAACTTTTTGTTGTCATGGCTACCTCTTCCTCTTATTTAGTGTGACCGTGCTATATCGGCGACCAGCCGGGTCATGAAAATATACTAAATCATGAATTTGTATAAATAAATAGTCAGATTCCACTAAAACAAACTTTTCCTGTATATATTGTTTAAACTTTAGGCATTCTGAATTAGCTTAAGCAAACGACCATTTTCTCGTCCGCATATATATAGAATGTTTAAAAAGTTGGTTAAATAAGTATCCAAAAAGCGCCCTCTTTTCAATACCTGCTTCTTTAAAAAAACGTAAATGATTTTTCCAATATACAATATTTTACTAGACATATAGAGTATTCAAGTAATTTGACAATTTTGATGGCTTTTGAACGCCTTTTTAAATTATTTTGTTTTTTTTTTAATTTTTTATAATATCTTAACAAATTTTAAGAATTGCTTTCAATATATTAAAGTTTAAGCTTATCACCCTTTTGGAACCATCTTAAGAAGTGTAGTGTCGAAACAGATTTGGATAAAAAAATTGTGTCAATGTTCCAAATAATGGTGAAGTTTAGAATAATTAAGAAATGTCAAAACAATTTGACTGAGAAACTTCTCGCGGGTTAAGTTAACTTTCTATTTATTGATTTTTTGACATCTGACAGAACTCAAACATGTATATACCTAAAAATACCAACCCATGCTATCGACGTTCGAATTATCGATAGATTTTATTAAAAGTTTAATGTAAAACAATTAAGCTTTACATTCGAGGAATGCATTACTTTTTAGTTCGCTGTGAAATTGTTTTTAGAATTAAATAAATAAAATACCATCTTAAAAACAAAAACTTTAATGTGCGATGTTTTATGCGATAGAATAACAATTAAAAAAACAGCTGTTGAAAGCTTTCCGAACCAAAGCTTTGCCGCTTTGTGAGTTTCATATTTTTTTCTTTAGTTTTACTAGGTCAGTCGAACGCTGTTTTGCTTCTGTCGCGGAATTCGCAGTTATTTAATTTTGGCGCGTGCATCTTTTTTTGGCGTTCGACCCTCCCGACCACACTAGCAACAATAACAACTGCGGCATAACATCGGATAAAACGACAAAAAAAACATTTTACGTGTGTCGCAAGCGACGCTTTTCGGCATTAAAAAATAACCAATTAACGATACGTGCGGTTAAATAAGTAATTACAAATATTAATAAAATAAAGGAGTTCATGCCCACATCTACATAATATTTATACAAATTCTAGTGAGCATTTATTTGCGGACCTTTTAGCCAGTTTTACATAAGTGATAGTTGTGTTGGCAGAACAAAAAGTTACTAAAGCGTGCTTAAAGTTTAATATATTCCCCAATGCACGCGCCTGAAAAGTGGTAATCAAATTTTTACTGGCAACAAGTGATAGAATAACAAAGGAAACAACAATTTAGCAACGGGCGATATCAAAAGTTGAAGGTGCTAACAAATCGACAACGACAATATAGACGACAATTACAACAACAACAGCTGTACTTGTTTGGCAACCGAATCGAATGGCAAACAAAAATTAATTTAGTTTTCTTAAGGTAAAAGCCGCTGAGATTCTTTCATTCTCGACATTTTTTCACATATATTGCCCAACATTTGCTTTTCGATTTCTCGTCAATTTGGGACAATCAAATTAATTGTATATTTTTGCAGCGTTTTCATTGCTTTTATTGCTTTTATTTGTTTTCCCCCTCGCAATCTGTCGTTCTTTATTAGTGCACTTGCACTTGACACACAGTCACCGGCCAAATATATGCTATAGTTTATACATGGTGTGCTTATATATTGACGTATATAGAATGTTTATGTCGTTCTTCCGTTTTGGTGACTTTTTGCCAACCGGTTGCTCGTTGAAAATACCCTCTACACTCTCTATGTATTAGGATTTGCTGATAAGCCCAAGCTCTGGGAAAGCAAATAATAAATGCCGTCTAATTGGTTTTTTCTCCGAACAAAATTAAAGGATTGTGCAACAAGCAAAGCGAACAATTATAAAATTCTATTGGGCATTAAAAAGAAAAAAAAACAATGAATAATGACTTGGGTTTTTTGAAAATGATTAGTTTTTGTTTATAACTTGCATTATTAAAAACATGTAATATCAGCTCGTAAATATGTTTGTGACAAAATACATCAAATTAATACTTTTCGTGTTTTTTAGCTGGAAATAAATTGTTTAAAAAAGATTAAAAGTTAACAATCAATCAGTAATTTAAAGCTAGTCGCCAGGTGATTATTTCAAACCATATCAGTCATACGTGAGCTGTAAAAATTGCCAATAATCGGGTCTTTAACACAAATAAAACTCTCCAATTTCACACCTGTTTTGGGTCAAACTTTACGTATTAGGTTTATTCCGAGCTTAAGACTTCAACATGATACGATATCTAAAATAGATACGAGAAGTTCAATAAAATAACCAAGAAAGGCTACTTTGGGCTAAAAGAATTAATGATAACATTATCAAAGGTTGAGAAAAAATTGCAAAAACGAAAAATAAGTATAGTTTCTTTCCAATTCAAATTTGATAACATTTTTTTAAAAATATGGTTGTTCTCTATATATATGATCTCAATTTGTGTTTATTAATTAAACGATTTTTCAATTGATTTTTATTTCATTTGTTTCTATTGCGTTGTCAGAAGTTTGTGCGTGCTCACAGTAGGGAAAATTGAAAATGTTGCAGCCCCAATACTCCATCTATGCCCCCAGTTATCCCCAGTCTCCACCACATAAAAATAAATAAATGCCACACAATCGAAATCTAAACAAAGAGATATAAAAAATCTGCCAACTGCCGCACCAGCAATTCCACAAAACCTAAACAAGGGAAACTCAAAGTCCAACCCGTGAATATGAATGCATCTCATATCTAAACGGAAGCTAAACATAATGTAGGAAAAATATGTAAGGCACTTTGTTTGCACTTCTGTGGTCAAATCGATGACGAAACTGGATTCCACCAGTAAGGGTTAATTCGCTGATAAGGGCGTGTCATATACATATATTGCACGATCCAACTGCAAACGCAAAAAGTGTACGACGAATTGAGCTTTGACCTTATTATAAATGCTTGGAATTATTACTCAGAAGTTTTGTTTTGTTTTCCTTATGGTATTTCAACATGGGTCTAAAAATGATAGTAAGAGGGATTAAATAGTAATTGTAGACAAATCAGTAATATGTATAAATATATATTTATATATTTAAACCAATAAATGTCGAGTTTATATTTAGAAAAAATGATATAGTAATAACGCGTGCCGACGCTTTCTATCAATTCATTTTGGGCTTAATAAAAAGTGACTCATGCGAAATGCTCTGCCGATCAAACATAAATGTATGACTCGAGTGAATCAGGCAACACACTTTCTAGACAAATATTTCTACGATTATTTAAGTAGTCTATCAACATAAATTTTTTCTATTTTTAAAGTCTTAGTTAATAAAATGGGAGCTCCTGTTTAACTTCTGATTATCGCCATCAAAAATCAAGTTTATAAAAAGCTCGCGTGCTCCATAAATTTTCACAAAAGCCAGACAAATATTTTTCCAAGAAATGCTCTTTTATCTACTTCAACGTCAGTTTTATCACATCAAGCAGACAGAATCACCTGAATGGTGGAAAATGGACCCTGGGATCATACCTGAATTTCAATTGCCTCAGTTTTCTACATTAGCCAGAACAAAGAAGTCGGATTTAAGAACTCACATCGGATCAATCAACATGATTGAAGTACGTAGCCACAGATCCACCGACTTTATTCCCTCGAACGCACATCGAAATTGTCTGCGTTATCTGTGACATTTCGTTTACCACTTACGTAATCAATAAATTGATATCAAAAGCACTGCATATGGTGACTAGAAATGTGGGAATGCCAAACAAACTGTAACTATTTCATGGCCATTAGCTGCTGATAACAACAGGGTCAATACATTGGTAAACACCTGCCCAGAGATTCCCCTTTAGGAATCCACATTTACATATAGAGAATCCAGTGAAATGTTTTTAACTGCAAACCTTTTAACCTTCAAAAAGTCGAATTTTTCTATGTGTTTTATAAGAAAAGCCCCTTAATACTTTTGCCTCTATCAAAATTATTTAAAGTACACATCTTGGTAACATGATAACATCATAACAACTTAAAGCAAGTGTCGTACTTCCGAAATAGTCTTAAAATTTAAACGATTGACACATAAAGCTTGAATAAAAAGCCTTTGAGTAACATTCAAAGGAGGCATAAGATATAAGATATAACATCTATATTTATATAAAATTTTCTCTCCTTGAAATTAATTTTTAGAAATTTGTCATGTGCCTTATATTTTAGAAATTGTGGCTTTGTCTCTGTGTCGGGGTTAAAACATTGATTAAAGAGGGCTGATGGAAGTGCTCGTGCTGCTGATAAGCAAAGTGGACACTTTCGATAAGAATTCAGTCGCGATTTTCGCGCAGACACTAAGTACATAAATATTCCGAATATATATAAAGCTTTTACCCTTCCCTTCGGCTCCCTATTTGGGCTAATCTCGCTTTGGTCATGTGCCTTCAAGCTCATTGCATAAGCTATTTGGTTTAGGCCAAATGTGGGATCCCGTTTTTTGCACTTTATTTCCAAAGTAACCGGTTCGTTGGTAGAACTAATGAGGTCCCGCACTTGATGGCGGCAAAACAATGAGCCAGGGGCATCACAATTAAACCGGATTCGAGGTGCTTGTTCTATATATAATAAGCTCGCTTTTTATATATAAATTTGTATTAGTCATTACTTTCAAAAAGCCGAGCGAAAGAGATAGAGAAAGATACAATTACAGTCGAAATTATGGCTACCGATTTTGGCGATACGAAATACATTTTGAGGGAGAAATTAAAATGGGGCTATTAGTCAGAAATTCCAGAAAAACAGCTTTTGATAATTATATTTCTATTAGCAGTTGTGGTTATTATATATTTTGATAAAAAAATTCTAACAAACGATTTGATGAATTATTCATTACACAGCAAAATATTTTTAGGGTATTGGCAGTAAACCCTTTAATATAAAAAACAGCTTAGAGTCCAATTCACACGCTACAATTTGAAATGCAAATGCAATTGAGACAGTTGATCTCGGTAGGCCAGTGATCTTTTGATCTCCTGATTGATTCCAGATACTTAGCATACAACTGACTAGTTTCACAGTCACCTCGCAAAGCGTTGAACTTGACATTGACAGCAAGGTTTCAACTGTTTTTGACTGAATAAAATCTGGGGAAGCACAGCATGATGCAAGTGACGTTGCGAAACACAGCTTTCAAAATATAATTTCGGAGTTAGTTGTTGTTTTTTGTCTGGCCGTCACTTTTTAGATCCGGTTTATGAAGCTGTTTACTTTTGTTTATGGAGTGCCATTTTATGGTCACTTAGCGGGAATTGTGTCAGTTGGTAACGGGGATTTGTAGGTAAGCTACAGAGTAGAACTATACATTAACACAGGTGAGGATTAACAACCTATGGTTGAATAATTGTTCTAAAGTCTTTACGTTCTTTTCAAGAATTTAATAGCTTTATTTTAGAATTATACATTTTCGCTTTCCAATGCAAATGTTGGCTTATGTTTTCAATACTTCATAAAACAAAAAAAACTAATTTACAACGAGTATAGATTTAATAGCTGTATAACATTCCAGCTTTTTTTAACACAAGTTTGCCACCAGCTTTTTTGTTATCCCCGTACAAACACTATTTGTTTATTATAAAACCTTAAACTGTTACTTGTTGGTGCTAGCTCAGACATATTCCATAAAAGTTATCTACCGTGAACCGATTATTATAGGTGATTATAGTTTATGCCAATGAAACGAATGACAAAATGCGCAAAAGGCCCTCTACTGTTATCCTATTTATCGCAAGTGTACGTTACTTTATTGAGCACTTAGCAAGTGGCTTTCGCTAGACGATAATTGATGATGAACATCTTTAGAAAATACGTCATCGGTAGACATTTGTCAACGCAGCGTATGCGTAATAAAGGCCGATAATACTTCTTCAGACAATTCTACAAATTTCGACAAAGGTTTTGCGGTCACCAAGAGAACGACGCATGTTGATCAAATAATTAAACCAATTAGCATTCGCTATGAAATCATGATTTCATTTAACTGAAACTGTTCACGAATTTTGGGGTATTATATAGTATTTAAATATCTCTCAGTGATGATAGATGCTTCAGTCGTGTGTGGTGGGTGATAAGGTTAGCAGCCTGTTGTTTTTGATCGAAAGTGATGCTAATCGTTTGAGGTTGGAATATGTTATCTAACTGCTGTTGTGAAATACTCGGTTCAATGTTTTAGATTATAAGCTCCAAGTGGATTGTCGAAAATTTTCCAAAGCCTACTATCTCCTATTTATTCATATTTAAAAGTGCCAATGCTGATAAGGAAACAAATTAAAACAAGTACTTGAAAATCTTTGGAGATTCAAAAAAGAAATTTGATTTTTTTAAGATACGATGACCTTAAAATGATCCGTTTATTTCATCCAAAGAAGTCAGAATTTCTTTAACAGAATGCTATCCTATGCATTACTGTTTTCGATAACCCGTATTAATCAAAGCGAATGAACCATTTTAGAATTTAAATTCAAAAATTATTTTTCAATTTATTATTATATTATAATTCTTGAAAAATTAGAACCATTTAAAAAGGAAAGCCTATGTAACTTTTTTTAATTTTAAATTTTTTTCGCATATTGATGTAATAATTATTTTATTTTTCAGAAACCAAAACACCATCTTAAATCCTTGCCTAAAGGTGCCTGGAAGCGATTAAAAGACTTGCACGATCGCCAGAAAAGGCGGCGTCACTTACCAATAGAGAATACTTCCCAGGATCCTTATAGCGACAACGAAACTGACTCGTTACTAATACCTATTGTGCATAAGGGAACCCCTCCAAATAGAGTCACTGGAACGATACCTAAGAAACCTCAAGACGCTGATCAGAATCCAAACTGCCCGGTTTCTCGCTTCAGGCAGTTGCAATTCCAACGCGATCTACGCATCCACCCTTTTACAGACACCAATGTGGAACGCGGCAGGAACAAAAAAGACTTAGAAGTAGTTGAAGATTTATCCAAAATGCCTAGTGATAAAGAGAATCAAGAGTAAGTTTCAAAAAGTTTATAATTTATATTCTTTTTTCTGTATTAGACTTTATTAAACTCTTTAATTTTCTTGCAGAACCAAACCACTGAACAATAACAACACAAATGGAAATGGTGGCAGTGCACCGAGTAAGCCAAAAATCCAGCCAAAATACAGCATCCATCGGGATGTGCTCACCCACGAGGTGGTGATTAAGCAAACGGGCTATGCGGCCCGGGACAAGAGTATACCCTCCTCCCTGCGAAACTGCTGGCAGAGCTGGAACTTCTTCGCACTGTTCACCGGCGTGATTCCCATCCTGCAATGGTTACCCCAGTATTCACCCAGGAGAGATCTTCCGGGCGATATAATCGCCGGTTTCACCGTCGCCATTATGAACATACCCCATGGAATGGCGTATGGCATCTTGGCGGGAGTTTCGGCCGGAAACGGTCTCTACATGGCTGTGTTTCCAGTGCTGGCCTACATGTTCCTCGGCACTTCCAAGCACATCTCAATTGGCACCTTTGCGGTGGCCAGCATGATGACGGCGAAGGTGGTGGACACGTTTGCCAATGTGGACGATCACCATCACGGAGTGCTGACGACTGCTGCTACCACAACGTCATGGCTGTCAAATTCCTCTGCATTAGCGGACGCCATCACCTCAACCACCTCATCATCTCTTTCGGTGTTTAATCAAACATCCACTTTTCAGTTGTTTAATTCTACTACAATTGCGAATCCCATCACAAAACTGGAGCTGGTGACCTCATTGGCCCTCACCGTGGGCATTGTTAACGTAAGTTGATATGGATACGGATGTAATAAAATAATTTATTACTGATTTAGTTGGTAGGGTTTCATAGCAACAGAAGCCATTTAGAAATATACAAACTGTTAAATGTCAATATTTATTCAGCTTGAAGGACTATTTTTTTGTTTTCAGGAGTTTGAAATATGAATTTCTAAATTCTTTATGCTAATACAAGCAATATGAATGCATTTTTCCTTAACCAGTTTCACGCAGCTAAATACATTAACAGTATTTTATCATATTTTAAATAGGGCATCAATTAAATTATTTTTCTTAAGCTTATGTCAGCAAATCATAAAGTTTGTAGTTTATTATTTAGTGTTTTAGTGTCTAGTATTTAGTGTTTAGTATCTAGTAATTTCTAGATTTCGGATCATTTTAATTAATTTCTAATATTTCCACAGCTCCTCATGGCTTTTCTAAGACTGGGAACCCTGTCGTCGCTGCTGAGTGAACCTCTGGTCAATGGATTCACGACTGCTGCAGCTTGCCACGTGGTCACCGCGCAGCTCAAGGATGTCCTGGGTATCTCAGTGCCCCGGCACAAAGGCGCTTTCAAGATCATATACAGCGTTATTGATGTGATCAAGGGTGTGCCAGAAACAAATCTGGTGAACTTTGGCTTTTGTATGGCGGTGATCTTGTTTATGACCATCTGCAATGAGTGCTTGAAGCCGCGCCTGAGCAAAAGATGTCGCTTCCCCCTACCCGCAGAGCTGATCATGGTGATCGGAGGCACGCTGATCTCCAAGTGGTTGAACCTGAATGTCGACTACAAGGTTAATCCAGTGGGGACAATACCCAGCGGTTTGCCGGATCCTGTTCTGCCGCGCTTGGATCTGGTGCCAAAGGTGGCCGTGGATTCAATAGCCATTGCTATCGTCACCTACTCCATTATCATGTCCATGGGTCTAACTTTTGCCAAGAAGCATGGATATGAGGTCAGGCCGAATCAGGAACTTTTTGCCATGGGCATTGGCAACATGGTGGGCGGCTGCTTCTCTTGCATTCCCATGGCATGCTCCTTGTCGAGATCCGTGATCCAGGACCAAACAGGTGGGGTGTCGCAGATCGCTTCTCTGGTTTCCGCCTCGCTGGTGGTAGTTACACTCATGTGGATCGGTCCCTTCTTCAGCAGTTTACCCAGGGTAAGTAATGCCTTTGCCTTCCGCATTTTTATTTTCTTATTAACTAGTTTGTTATTCATCTTTTCAGTGCGTTTTGGCTGGCGTGATAATAGTGGCATTGAAACCGATGTTTATGCAAGCCAAGGAGCTGAAAAAGTTCTCTAAGCAAGGCAAACTGGAGATGTTCACCTGGATATCCACCTTCCTCTGCGTGGTGATAATCGACATCGACATCGGGTGGGTCTTAAATGAATTTTAAATGCCAGTTGTAGCAGATTACTTATTAATTTGATTATTATTCCCTCAGTCTTTTAATCGGCATCTGCATCTCGCTGTTGGCCCTCTACATTAAGGGCCTGAAACCCTACTCCTGCCTTTTGGGTTATATGCCAGAGGCCCCGGGAATCTATATGGATCTCAACCAGCACCGGAATGCCCTGCAGGTTCCCGAGACACGTATCTTCCGCTACAGTGGATCGCTGAACTTTGCGACGAGTTTGTTTTTCCGACGGGCTCTGTTCGAGGCGGTGGGTCTGGACAAGATTCCGCCGACAAAGGTCAGCAGCAGCAATAGTAACAGTCCCAGCAAGGGCAGCAAAACGAGCTATTCCCCGGTATCGCAGAACGGCGGCAAGGCAATCAATGGCCAGCTGGTGGAGTCCTCTGGTGGATTCAAGGTGCTCATCCTGGACTTCTCGATGCTGGGACACATAGATGTGGCAGGATGTCGCACCCTCACCGATGTGAGCAAGGAGCTGAAGGTGCGCGGAGCCCGTTTGCTGCTGGCCAGTCCCGTGGATAGGGTGTACGACACCCTGGTCCATAGTATGGCGCTCAGCGAAGGACCCTTTGAGATCTTCCCCACGCTGCACGATTGCGTGGAATATGCCAATGCCTGTCGGACTGCGTGAGAGGGTAATCCTGATCCGGATCCTGATCCTGCTCCTGACTTCCCATGTAAAGGGGATGCGGAGGTATAACCAGTTTTGTGATATGTCCAAGTGATAGCTTGTGAATCGTAGCACCAAAACCCCCTTCCTAGTGGCTAAGACCTATTTTAAACTAAATAAATACAATGTCGCCGTCTACAATCAAGCAGAATAGGCTAAGTTCGTTTAAGTGCCTCCACAATATGGATTTTTTGTACTTAAAACATACACAGCCCACCAGTCAAGGCAACCGAAGAACTTTTGCGATCAATGAAGCGCATTGATCTAGAGCAATTTGTACCAAAATGAACAATTCAAACACACACAATTAGTATTTAATTAATATGTATGAAGATGTATAAACTGTACATAAACATTAAACTGAATTTGTTGCAATTGTTTTGGAATGCTTTCTAAGCTTATTGGGGAAGGTAATTTATTGGAAACCGAGCAATAATTCTTAATATGTTTATATATACCTAAATATTTTAAATATTATACTTTCTGGGTTGCCACAATAAGGTATTCCTTTTACATGATAAAATATTTATAGGTATTGGAAATTGATTTCAAATAAATTAATTAACTTACCTTTTTTCATTTTACATGTTAAAATACGATTAAAAGTCTGAACCGATTTTTCTTGATTTTTTAAAGCCGACTTTCAGGCTGTACTTGAAATCATAGGTAATTTTAAAGAATTTTTTTTGCCTAAATATGTTTTTTTTTTACCATTTTAATCATTTAAAAACGTTAAATCTTTTTTAAGTCATATGATTGTTTTTTTTTTTATTTCAGGAAGGTTGCTTAAATTTTATAAAAATTCAGAGTCTATGTCATTTAACCGTGTTAAGTTTTATATACGAGTGGGAAACGATAATACCGAGCATTGATTTTTTTTTTACTATTATTGTACAAAATTTATAAACGAAAAATGTTATTTCTTAAATATTTTCATTATAAACATCCTTCTATTAATTTTTGCAGCTGATTTGATGAATATGTATTAAAATATAAGTTGCCAATTCACTTTAATGCTGCTAGAAATTACATCGCGTTGCCAACCACCTAAATTGAACTCTGGGTGATCCCAAGTCAGAGTGTTTCTTTGATCAACATTTAACATAAGAACAACTTAAATATAAACTTTTTTGTTTTGCCAAGGTAATTTAAACAAAACAAACCCAGCTAAATCACAGTAGGACCGAAGCTCGCTCAGTTCTGATGAACTGTTTAAAAACTCAGTCGCACTGAATATATTAAAATTTGTTCTACCTGAGTACTATGCTTTAGACATTCGAGGAGGATTGATAAATTAAAAAAAATGAAAATTACATTACATAATATGTTTGGCTTATTAGATTAAAAAAAAGAATAAATAAAAATGGCTGAGAAGTTAAGAAAAAAAATTAAGCTCATGTGGCTTAAATGAAAGAACCATTATTCCTGTTTAAAATAACTTTTTGGAAACTAGATATATTATAAAATTGCATATGACATTTTTTTGTTTCATTATCTACTCGGGATTGTAGTCGGAAATGCCTGACCTGATCGAAAAGCTGGATGCTTTTTGCTGACAAATCGCCACGTACAATCGCTGGAGCTGACACCGAACAATTAGCAGGTACATGACTAAACGGAGATGAATATTTTTGGGCTATTTGTTTGGCCAATATTGGTATGTTTGCGTGGGAGGAGGTGGAACATGCCCTAAGCGGCGGAAAAAAGGGAACACAATTGTTCCAACTGATTAGCCATTAAATGACTTCTGCCCAAGGCAACAAAATGCACTTGAAGTTTGTTTTGGACTTGTGTGAGACATGGGAAAATCTACATGCCTTGGGTTGGTCAAGATCTGAGAGTCGGTTGCGTTTTGTGGTTGTCGACCAAAATGATTGCCAACCCCCAAGCTCGAGTTTCTTGAAGGTCACTTTGCGTGGAAACTGAAATTTGGTTCAGGTCGTATAGTATGATTAAGAATTTTATTTTAAAGTGCCCTTATAAGAGCAATTAAATTCTATAAAATTACCCCTTCAACTTTTCCAATGAATTATTCAAGAGCTCAATGCATTTCCAATAACTCATTAATTTATTAATGAAATATGCAAATGATTGTTTAATTAAGATAGCTTAGATCAGTAAATGTTGGGGGCATCAGTCTAGCTTTGGAATTTACACACGATTAAATCTTTACTACTATGATTTTAATCAGATTTGTTTTATTTTTAAAATACTTTAATGAAAATAATCAATACTTTATATGGTTAAATTTTGAAAAAAACTAAAAGGTTTATAGATAATCTTATGTTTTACGTAAATTTTCATTTTAGACGTCAGTTCTTTCTGTCAGGTATTAGGTGGTTTATAGATAGAGTTTATAGATAATCTTATGTGTTACGTAAATTTTCATTTTAGACGTCAGTTCTTTTCTGTCATTATTATGCTTTTTGTATGCACAATTTTGCTTAAATTTTAATTATATCCCCTACTACGTGTTGTCATTTATTTTTAGCCTTATCTTTGACTCATTCCAATCATTTTAAGTGCTACAATTTAACGCTTCTGAAGCTTGTCACCTTCGGCGAGCTCAACGAGGCTTTCAACTCGCTCACGTTAATCGCATTTGAGTAAGTATATTTTCATAGGCAAAATTTACTTGTTTTAAATCGAATTAAGAATTTCCCGCAGTATTAATGATGCCTTGGTCACTTGAGAAGTAATCACACAGTTCGATTTCGACTTTTGTGCAATATTTTATCACAAGGCGCCTGCATACAAGTGTGTGGAGATAGATTTTATGGCAACTATAAAACGCAAAAGGTTCCCACAGCGAGTGTATAAGATGCGAAATAAACAGGCAGAGTAATTGTTTTTCATTTTTTATTATTTATTTCTATTTTTGCCATGCAACTTCCACACTTGTGGGAAACTACGGGAGTGGGGGCGGGTGGTTGTTGTTAACACGGCCATAAAAGTGCTAAACAACCCAACAAATTGTGGGGCCAACAACATATTGAGCTTTTTAAACCGTGCCGTGGAGTGTAAGTGAAGCTTGGGGGCTGGAGCTATTTGTGTATCGACAGCCAACTCTTTGACCTTAGCTTGAAAATGGCTTACAAATTACAACACAAAAATTTTAAAAAAATTAATTAAATTATGAAACCACGATAATTACTCCAACACTAAATTTTAGTTATTAAACTATTTGTTTGGGTAACAACAAAATTAAGTTGTTAACTACCGAAGGTTGTTCTCTGATGCAGCAATTGATACAAATTCACGTAGGTGAATGAAAAACTTAACTCAAATCGTTTTTTATTTCTTGATGCTTTTCAAATATTATTTTCTTGGAGTCCATCTCGACAAAAGCACAAGGACTTTACACTTTGCAACTGCCACCTGTTATTTACAAATAAAAAGTAAGACCGCAAATTAATACACGGGTGGCTATGTACACCAGTCAGGAAATCTGGATCTGACACAACTAGAAACCTATATTATTTAATAACTCGTGCTTAATCTGCTTTGTCAAACGACTTTTGGTGTCTCGTTTTGCGGGCTTGCTGCATGTCGGTTAAATTGTTTATCGACTGTTTTATAAATTATCTTTATATTTGTTGTATAAAGGCTTTGCGAATGTGTGTCATTCGGAATAACTAGAGGGAGTTCCTGGTGAAACAACTTGCAATCCTATTTTTGAGCAAATTTTAGTATATTGTGCCGACTACAATTATTATTATAGCACTGTTAGTCTTAAATCTAAAGGACTTTAAATGAAACATATACTTTTATCTCCGCGAAATACTCCAATGATCTAGTGAAAATTCTGAAAAATATTATGCTACATTGGCAACTGTGACGTAACGTTAAAATGTTCAAAGCAAGACGGCAAAAAAAAAGTTGTTTGCCATGGGAGAACTGCAATTGACAATATCAGCAGCAACAGCAATAGTCGAATAAAAACTCAATAACAATTATCAACTGCGAGTGACTCCCAAAACAAATGCAAGAAACCTGTATTAAAAAAAGTAAACAAAAAGTTCAAGAGTAAATATTTACGAATATTGAATAAATTGTTATCTACGTAAACTTAGCCAGCTCTTACGATCTAAATAAAATAAAATAAGCCTGCAAAAAGGATCTTCTAGTATATTTTTGAGTTACAATCCAATAAATGTGGTTTCAAAAGACACAACACCTAGTATACAATTTGATGAAAAATAAAATTTGACAATAAATATTGTTAATATGGTAGAACCAGGTAATAACGATACAACAACATCCATTTTTAAATTGTTTATCAGGCGGTGCATAAGACTTTAGACTGTCGTTCAAGAATAACGTTTATCGTTTTGAAAATTTCAAAATTTTTTTTTTTAAGATTTTTTAAGATGATGAACACTAACTCACCACTGGCCGCCAATAATTTTAATTTGATTGTTTTTATTTTCCTTCGTTTATTCAATTGGTTTTGAGATACCACCAACAGAAAAAATATTTATTTTAATGATAATTCTGTAATCAGTTTTGAATGATTTCCACCAGATAGGTTCTTTTTTTTGGTTTTCAGTAAAAATGATTTCAAAAAAAGTTTTTTGAAATACTAGCTAAACATCTATCTACCTTTAAGCAAGAGATAATAAAAATAATATTTTGAAAAAGGGCTCTCGAGCCTCTCTCGAAAGTGCGGCTGAAACGCATCTAACAAAGACGACTGCTGTCTAAACTTAAAACCGATCGCGATCACGTTTTATTTGCGCAAAGTATTTTCACATGCCGATTCGGCGAAGGGAAGCAGCAAAAGTCGAAAAATAGATGAATAAAATAAAAGGAAGTACGAAAAAGTTTCGAAGTATTTACGGTTTCCCTTCTCCCTTGCACCTGCAGCGCAGCTAAGCCAAGCTTAAGTCGGAGAGGCAAAAGTCGAACAACGAAGCTCTTTGTGAGCGGAACTTAATAAAAAACCCCAACTGTTCCTACAACCAGTTTCAAGCCAGCTGTCGAGCGGTACGGTAGGGTCGTCGTTCCCAGTTTGTGTAGTTAAATCGTTAACAGTGCGCGAGAACGGGTTGATATTGTGATGGATAAACATTGATCGATATTACCGATGTTTTGAAAACATCGATGTTAAGTTTATCAAAGGAAAAAAATGTTAATGTTGAAACTGATTTGGACTCTAAAAAAAACTATACAAAATTAACGAGAATAATTAATTACCACCAAAATGTTTAATAAATTGGTAAACAATAATTCCCTTCTTTTTTTTAGCCAACCCGCGCCGTCCATAACAATTTCCCAAAGTTTCTGTGCATTCAAGTGCAACTAAAATTAGTAGCTGTTTCTTTTGTGTTTGCTTGTTGTGCTTTGTGTTTTGGCAAAACAACAGTTTGGAGGCAATTCACACAGGCGAACACTGAGAAAAGAAAACCGCCAAAATTGGTTACCTAACGAAAACTTCGTTTGTGCTACGGGACGGCAGACTTGTAAGTAAATTAATTTGTTTATTCAAGCAGTTTTAGAATTGATTATACGTGTGTTTCCACCATTGGCAATACAAGTAGTTCAACTAAAAACGTTTTTAATGAGCCTAGCTCTCATTACCTTAAATCGTATTATATCTACTGATAAATTGATCAATTTTTGAAGGTTTATATATAAACTATAGCTTATAACTACTTTAATTTTATTTTTATCTATAGTATTTATTATTACACACTTAGCAAGGCTAGTGTGAGGTTGTATTATATATACATATATAAATTTATTTAAAGTGTTAGTTATAAGATATAAACCTTTAAAAATTAATATTTACATATATAATTATATAGTTAATCTAGCTGTCACTGAAAACTTTTACAATACTAGTTCTACTACTTTGTTGAACAGATAGACATGTCTATGCCATAAATGAATGTTCAAGATATGAATGTTCGATATGAAAAATCAAATTACTTACATTTGAGTATATATGTTTTTCTCCTCCATTTATGACCCACAGAGGATATTTCTTGCGAGATTCCTTAATCATTCCAATAGTTTTCTAACGCCTTCAAAACACTTTACAAGACAAGCTTATGAAAAGTGAGAGGTCTCAGAATCCGAGTTTTAAGTGCTCTATTATGATGTGTAGCACGTATGGCTTAACAATTACCATAATTTTAATTGGTTTCAGCTTACAGGCAGCAGATATTGGTAGTGAGTCGCCTCTCCGCCAACGCCCCGTCATTAATGGCGACTTTCAGATGACTTACTGTCATCTCAGGCACGATTCCCGCAACTTGATAACGTCGAATGAAAAATAGTGAATATTCAGACAGTGTGAGAACATTTTTTTAATAGCCCCGCGCCAATTACGTGGCTATCTCAACTGCGGCTTAGCTTATTTGAATTTGGAAAATAATGCTCGAAATGAGATGTCGTTTACAAGCTAGTTGAGAGGAGGGGGACATCATTGCTCAGCCTGCAATTAACTTTAATTAGCATTTAGAACATCGCAGTCTGCTTAGATGAATCAGAGATGGGGCGGCACTCGTAAATAAGTCACTATAATTAGCTAGCAATTTTTCGGGCAGGCTATTACTTTGATTTATTTGTTTTGATTGCTCCAACTTCAACTGGGAACCCTGAAGTGGGCATAATGATCGTATGTAACCGAAGTCTCTTATTAAGAGCCGTAACTGACAAAATCCACAAAACCACCTCCGATAATGAACGCTTGTCTAGGCGCATTGCGTTGGAAGCTTTGCTGCGGCTACGCCGCTGCCAAAAGTGGGTCATGGTTAAGTGTACTTCGGTCGCTTCGCGGTTCGCTTCGGACCCGGCTTAGAAACAGCAAATGGTCGGCCGAAACCACAGCTGCGCATGCGCACCACTCTCCCAGCTCCCCTCTTATGTCACAGGTGGAAAACTATCAATAGCGGAGTATTTCGTTCTATTATTATTTAAACTTAAGCACTTTTTTGAAAAGAAAAATGGCTCAATAAATATTAAAAGTTATCCATGTATATACTATGTAAGTTAACACGGTCAACCGGCAATAGAGAAGTTGACAAGCTGATCACTCGTAGCCGGGATGAGAATAATGCAAAGCCAGCGACACCTGCGGATATTGAACAACGACGGTACCAGAAGCCCAAGCTTCGGTCAGCGCTATCAGCGGGCAATGCACTGCAAAGCAACCGACGGCTACCCAACACCAGACACGGGGCGCCGGGTCAGCACTTTTAGGGCATAGGGCTAGCTTTCGTTATAAGAATTTATGTACTTAGTATTTAGTTGAATTTTGGAAATAAATCGTGACCGTCACGCCTCTCGAAACCTAAGTCTTCTCATTCGCGCAGTACCGCGCGTCTTAAGTAAATCCCGAATAAGGAATTAATTAATTTGTATATACATAGAAGACACTCAATAAAAAGTCATTAAAACTAATCTAAAGACGGTCTGTTAATGTGAAATTTTCCGTAATCACCTTTGTAATCCAAAAACTCATTAAAAATATAGTGAACAATTTGTCAGTTAACATATTGAATTTAAAAAGGTTTGTCAGGTTATAAATTAGGAGAATCATTATGTTAGGCACGGAAACAAATATTTAATTCGAATATTCAAGTTTTTTTTGTCTATATAATACTATAATTATCTAAATATTAGAGCTCGAGCTTTTAAAATGCTCAAAACTGATCGAGATTGGAGGACTCAATAATTAATCTACTAACCACTAAATCAATTTACTAATACTTAACGCAATTGAAGCTAAGTGTAAATAATCCTTATCTGTTTTTGCCGTCTAGAGCTGTCGCGCCATTAAGAACATCTGCATCTTTTCCTATCCCAAACTCCTTGCATCATCTTCCTTGCATCAAATTCCTGTTCGGATTCGTCTTTTGTAGACAAAAGTAAAAAATGTGAATTTAATATCCTAAATCGAATGGTTTAATAACAACTTTGTAATACTCAATAGGAAGACGACATGGGCTTCAGTTCGCGAATGGACTGCTGCGGGCAGTTCGTAAAGTACAGCCTTTTCATAGCCAACTTTGTGATATTCGTGAGTATCTTTGGGAATCACTTTATACACAAATAATTATATAATATTATTATTAATAAATTCCAGGTGGGTGGAGCCATTGTATTCTGCCTTACCCTGTGGACCCTTGTGGATCGCAGCTTCGTCAATGAGTTGCTCGGAACAAATCTCTTCTCGGGAGCTGTTTACGTCCTGCTGGTTACATCGATTATCATCTGCCTGGTTTCCTTTTTGGGCTGTGTTGGTGCAGGAAAGGAGGTCAAATGCCTGCTACTTACGGTGAGTAAGCGATCTAATGGATCTGAATAATTTTAATGCTCTAAGAAATATTTTAAAACAACATTTAACTTTCACTTTCCCTCTGCTATTTATACTCAAAATATATTTGTATAGTATTATTTGTATATAAAAGTACTATTTACTTTGTAAAACCTTACTAACTTCTAGTATATGAACTTCTATATAATTTCTAATAAAAACAATTCATAATTCAACCATAACATTTGGTTATCAAACCAAATTCTTTCAATGTTGTTCATTAGGTTATCTTTCATAATTTTCCTTAAGAGATCCCACTTATATACTTCTTAACAAATTTGCAAAGACCATTTGACATGTATATTAACCACCCGATTTCCCTTTTGTAGTATTTCATAATCGTGGCTTTAGTTTTCGTCACCATGCTAATTGGCGGCGTCTTGGGTTATGTGTTCCGTGAACGGGTGCAGCAGACCATGCGGCAGGTGAGTCGAATCCCCCAATAAATATGTGGAACTCCATTGAACCTGTTTAATATTCCAAAGGAAATGCGATCCACGATGGCCTTGTACGGCAGCAGGAGGGAGATCACCCAGGCCTGGGATTTGACCCAGGAGCGGCTGCAGTGCTGCGGAGTGGACACGTGGCACGACTGGAATAGGTACGGACCTGTGCCCGAGTCCTGTTGCCAGGAGCTTTTTGGGGGGCAGCGAAAGGAGTGCACCATCTTTCCCACCATCACGAATCTTTATAACCAGGGCTGTCTCTACGTGACGACCAACTTCATCAGGGATCATGCCGCGGTTATTGGGGGCACCTCCATAGCGGTGGCCATTTTAATGGTAAGAACAATCAAATCTAATAGATTCTAAACATATTAAAGATGAATCATAGATTTTAATTTTAAAGAAATTATTTCCAATAGAAAACTATTTTTGTTGTTTATTAATTTTATCCTATTTATTACTTTCAGATCTTCGGTATGATATTCTCTTGTCTACTGTTCAATATGATCGAATAGCGCCAAAGATATGGGGAATTCCTTGGCCAGGCAGAAAAATCAGCTTCCGAGGTCCACAGTCCTGAAGAGACCCATTTTTGAATGAATTTCACTGGTGGAATATAAGAGTATTATCAGAGTATATGATAATGTTGGCTCTGATCAACTTTCCGTTTGTATTATGTATGTATATACGTGTTTAAATGAGTATTCATGAGCGAGAAACTGGATTGTATTGTTATCATCTGTTCTATCATTTTGTATTATTTCTAAATAATTCTGTAAATTTAGTCGTAAGCTCCTGTAATCAATACCCCAACGCAGTTGTTAGTTTTAAGTGAGCTTTTCTATTGTTTATAGAGAATTAATATGTCCGTCCATTGTTGTTTCTAATAAAATTAGTTGAAATCAAATAGCTAGGGAAGATTAATATTTATTTGTTTGCAGATCATTAAAGCTTTTGGAGTTAGACTGAAGTGGTTTGTTAATAGTTAAAACGTGAAATAAAACTATTGGAATAAAATGTTTGTCTGAAGATTCAAGTTAAAATATTATTAAAATATTTTTTGAACATATCATAAAAATATCTTTTGTATATTAAAATACTTTTGGTACACCCAGAAACTTTTTAAAATTTATCATATTCCATGAATGAAAATTATCGAGAAAACCCGGCCTTGATGAAACAATTATATATGTATATTATAAACAAACCAAATCAAAATATTACATTGAAATATTTTAAAAAATTGTACTTTATTCAAAGCTAAACTAATCTGAATTAACTACTCGAAACAATAACGATATACTAACCCTATAATACTTAATATCATAGTCAATAAGTGTAGCGAACAAGTGCCGGCACTTGAACCCGTTTCCGTATTATTCCACCACTCCCAATTTCCATTGTGATAAGCTGGATCAGCCCTCGAATCCGAAATGGGAACTCGGGCGCTGGGAATCGCAGTTCTCCGGATTTGCTCCACCTCATCGGCGAGTTCCTGCAATTGGCGTGGATAAAGTGTGGCTAAATTGAAGCGCTCGCAGGGATCTTTTGCCAGATCGAAAAAGCAGTGGGCTTTAAGGGGATCACATATGAATTTCGGATCCTGGGGATCCTGCCCCTCCACAAGGGGACACTCCTGAGTGGCTTCGCTTCGCATCTGACGGATGCGATCCTCGGTTAATCCCCGATTTCCCAAGATACGTTGAACTTCCGATGCCAGGACATGCTGTCCGTACTTCTCGCTCAATGGGTCGTCTTCGTTGGATTCCAATTCACCCAACCACTGATCGTATTGACCATTGAAGCTACTTCCGTTTACGTACTTTAGGGAATCCCTCATGTACGATGAGTAACCGAAGACATCATCCAGCACATGAATCATTGTTCTGGGCTTCGGTTCCTCATTGCCACTCAGCGAAGGCCAGAGATTGATCCCATCCAGCTGAAGATCCTGTGGCAAGGAGACGCCAGCAGCTCCAGCCAGTGTGGGCAACCAATCAATGGCGTGGATCGCCTGATTGGACACATATCCTTGCTCCTTGAGCAGCGGACTCCACAAAGCTCCTGCGGATCGAATGCCACCCTCCCAGGGAGATTCCTTTTGCTGTTGGGAAAATACAATGAAATTAATTATATTTAAAATATATTTAAGATACTAAGATTTTATGTCTGGTATTCTTTAAAAAATATATATGTAACTTAAGAATTAAAACGAGCCCCTTTTTTAGACTCTTTAGTTTAAAGTTCAATTCAACTTATTAAATATTAAGTTAAGAAGTTTTCAGTTCTTTAAAGGTTTTATCTTGTGGTCTGATGGACTATTAAGGAGCTTACAAACAAATCGCTTTAATTTATTTTGTATCTACTTATACTTTTTAAAATACTTTTCTCTGTAGATATAAAAAGACTTACCCCGCGATAAGGAAAGTTAGACCCAGCATTGGAATGAATGCCCACGGTTGGTGCTCCATTGTCTGAGTAGAGTAATATAATGCTGTTATTCAGCATGCCATTATCCTTCAAGGCACCAATTGTCTGAGCCACACTCTTGTCCAGACTTGAAATCATACCTTGATAAGCACAATATTTTAAGGTTAATTTGTCAATAGAACAAATCAGTTATCGAGCTAGGATCCCCAACTCACCAGCGTAGGTGCGCCGCTTGGGATCCTTGATGTGTGGAAATTTGGCCACCTCCTCCTCAGGAGCCTGCATCGGATTATCCTCGTTTCCTGTGTGGACGGCCAAGTGACTGAGCACCATGAACAACGGCTTGCTCTTATCATGCTGCTCAATGATTCGTTTGGCCTCCGAAGTAAAGGCTTCCGTGGCGTAAGTTCCGTTTGCTTCGGGACAGGGCTCCAGATCCCGTCGAAAATCCAGTCCTGCTGAATAGTTCCTGTCCAGCATTCTAACCTCGTGGTCGTAGTAGTCAATGTACCCATTGTAATAGCCAAAATGGTGGTCAAATCCTCGCATTGTCGGCGTGAGATCCTTTCGCCAGAATCCCAGGTGCCACTTGCCCACCAAATGGGTCGAATAACCCGCCTCCCGGAAAAGTTCCGGCATCAGACGTTCTCGCTGCGGAAGACTCCAGGGCTCATCGGTTATAATCACAAAGTGCTGCATTCCTAAAAATAATCAAACATAAGTTATAAGGCAATATTTGGTTTGGTTGAGTCAATATTTTACCCGTGTGTATGGGATATTTTCCGGTTAGGAGAGTGGCCCTTGACGGAGTGCACAAATTCGGGACATAATGCTTATTGAGGAGAATGCCATTGTAGGCCAGGGCATCGATATTGGGTGTAAGGATCTGGTTTGAGCCATGGAAGCTCACATCGTTCATACCCTGGAAATATTGTATTTATATAGTCTTTGGTTTTTAGGAAGTTCATTAAAGAGTACTTATTTACTCCGACCACCTACTCACCATATCATCGATTAGTATTATAACTATGTTTGGCTTTGTGGAATGTCCAGATCCATTTGCCAGGCTGAGAATGGCACTCACTACCAGCAGACCATGGATTGTTCCCAACATTGTGAATAAATTAAGAACCTCCATTTCGTACGATCGTAAAATTCTTAAGTCCTGGACCTAAATAATAAAATTCAAAAAGGAATAAATTAAGAATGTAGCCATATTAAAGTCTTAGTGCTAATTTAAATTTTCAAAATTTTTCAATTTTCTTAAATTTTACACCTTGTTTTTATTTCCGAACATTTTTTATTTATAAATAACCCATATGTTTCTCGCAATTGATTTCCTTTCAAAATTCAAAATAGTGTAAAAGAAACCAGTTTTTATACCCGTTACTCGTAGAGTAAAAGGGTATATTGTATTCGTGCAAAAGTATGTAACAGCTAGAAGGAAGCGTTTCCGACCCTATAAAGTATATATATTCTTGATCAGGGTCACTAGCCGAGTCGATATAGCCATGTCCGTCTGTCCGTCTGTCCGTCCGTATGAACGCTGAGATCTCGGAAACTATAAAAGCTAGAAGATTGGCATTTTGCATGCAGATTCTAGGAGTTCCTACGCAGCGCAAGTTTGTTTCAAAAAGGTGCCACGCCCCCTTTAACGGCCACAATCGCTTATATACGATTTTAAAAATTTAAATATTTCGGAAAAGTAAAAATGCAGTTTTATTGTGTTTATCAATACCTATCGAAATGTAGAAGAAATTTTTCAAATCGGACCATTCGTTAAAAAGTTATGCGTGATCAAAGTTTCTATCTCCATCTCCCTCGCACTCCCTTTACCTGAGTAACGGGTATCTCTCTTGTTAGGTTTCTTTTTTGCATTATTTTGAAATTAAAGAAAGAGTTTTCCCAAAAACAAATTCTGTGGGGCTATGTTTAAAAGATAGTAAAAGATACAAAAGTTAAGATGGAGCATAGCTTGTTGTGAAGCTCCTGATCGTTTTTGGTAATACGTATGTTGAAATGCCAGCATGTAACTGATTTAATTATAATGCTGCACATCTAGGCGGTATCTGCCGAATTTTCAGCGCCATAATTGGCAATTGTACAATCTTCAATCTGCCGTCATCCACAGGTGCTGCCCCCAACCACTTCCCTCTTGACCTATCCCAATGCATAGTGTGCCATGTGGCCGAAAAGTTCATTCAACCATTCCCGCAAGTGTTGTCGTTTTATTTTGTTGCTATTTAGCAACAATTGTTAAGGCATTATATAAAACGAAATACACTAACACTTGCAAACTTGTACTTGAATTACCCTCGCAGTGAAGAGTTTAATTTCTTTTTATCTTGGCTAAAACTGTGGCTTAATTGTCGCAATAGGCCATAAAAAACGTGGCAATAATGAAATCCAGACAGATAAGCAAGAGATGTCGTAAAAATCTATGATCTGTGCAATTGTTTTAGCATTTTTGACGAGTTTAAATGTGTTAATAATGCTGCATAATTTGGGTGGAAATAAAAGTGTCGTGCGCACGGGATAGAAATCACAGTCACGACATTGGAATGTGAATGAGAATGGGAACTCCCAGCTGTCAGGTGATAACCTTCACAGGTTGTTAATATCGTGACCTTGCTTAAACACATATTATGTAATCAGATCATCGTACATCAATGAAAGGTTCTTGAGTTTTAAATCCCCAATCCAGACAAAACAGGTTTATTTCAATAAGCTGCGAAATCTTTCCAATTTGGAAACTTTCAGGATTGTCACTGGGCCCATAAGGTTCGACCAAAACCATGTTAGTTAATTACAATGTAACCTGCTATTGGCCAACTAAAAACATGTGGCAAGACTTCATCGAGGAATTGTGAAAAGGTAAGTTTTGTGTAAAAGATACAAGGAGAGAAAATTTAGCAAAGCTTGATGAGCTGATCCAAACAATTTTTTCATATTTTTTGTCTAGGAAACGGTTTAGTTAGAAATTAAATAATGTTGACCATAAAATCAAAAAATGCCTTTTGATTAAGGTAAGTATCATCAAACTATATCTTCTCCGGTCTTGTCAATTGTTTTCAAAATTCCATTCTATGGCCTAACTTTTAAGATCACAAAATTTTGACAATTTGGTTCTGTACATTTTTAAAATTTATTTCTGTATTCTTAAAAGCGGAATCGTTTAGATTTTATGAAGCTTTTATGGTTGTCGTTATCTTTTTTCCCAAGTGTTCTGTAATTTCACTTCAAAAGGCTGCGCTGTTTTTAATGACTTTATAAATACAGAGACTTTTTAAAACAAGAAAGGAAAGCTAACTTCGGGCGGAGCCGAAGTTGATATACCCTTGCAGAATACTCTGTAAATTATATTCCCCAAATTTATTCATATGATGCATTCTTAATACTCATAAAAAATCCCAACTTCCTAACTTTAAAAACACCAAAGTTATGGCATTTCCAATCGTTCAGTTATATAGCAGCTATAGGATATAGTCGGCCGATCCTTATGAAGTTCGGTAGGTCGGATTGATTGGCCAAAAATAAAACCCATAGAAAATCCCAACTTCCTAACTTTACAAACACCAAAGTTATGGCATTTCCGATTAATCATTTATATGGCAGCTATAGGATATAGTCGGCCGATCCTTTTAAAATTTGGTACGTCAAATTGATTGGCCAAATGTAAAACCCATAGAAAATCCCAACTTCCTAACTTTACAAACACCAAAGTTGTGGCATTTCCGATCGTTCAGTTATATGGCAGCTATAGGATATAGTCGGCCGATCCTTATAAAATTTGGTACGTCAAATTGATTGGCCAAATGTAAAACCCATAGAAAATCCCAACTTTCTAACTTTAAAAACACCAAAGTTATGGCATTTCCGATCGTTCAGTTATATGGCAGCTATCGGATATAGTCGGCCGATCCCGGCCGTTCCGACTTATATACTGCGTGCAAAGGAAAGAAGGGTGTGTGCAAAGTTTCAATTCGATATCTTTAAAACTGAGAGACTAGTTCGCGTAGAAACAGACAGACGGACAGACAGACGGACAGACGGACAGACGGACAGACGGACAGACGGACAGACGGACAGACGGACATGGCTATATCAACTCAGGAGGTGATCCTGATCAAGAATATATATACTTTATAGGGTCGGAGATGTCTCCTTCACTGCGTTGCACACTTTTGACCAAAATTATAATACCCTCTGCAAGGGTATAATTATATAAAGGTGTGTTTAGCGAAGCAACAAACTGGTTCAGAACACAATATGCTAACCAACAAGTTATTGTTTTAAGTAATACATTAATTAAATTTTATTTTGATTGCTAATTATTATTATTGTTAATTTTACAGGTAACAAGAAAGGAAAGCTAACTTCGGGCGGAGCCGAAGTTGAAATACCCTTGCAGAATATTCTGCAAATTATATTCTCCAAAATTATTCATATGATGCATTCTTAATACTCATAAAAAATCCCAACTTCCTAACTTTAAAAACACCAAAGTTATGGCATTTCCAATCGTTCAGTTATATGGCAGCTATAGAATATAGTCGGCCGATCCCTTTGAAATTTGATATGTCTGCTTGGTTGGGCAAAAATAAAACCCATATAAAGTCCCAACTTCCTAACTTAACAAACACCAAAGTTATGGCATTCCCGATCAATCAGTTATATGGCAGCTATAAGATATAGTCGGCCAGTCCTTATGAAATTTGGTAGGTCGGATTAATTGGCCAAAAATAAGACCCATAGAAAATCCCAACTTTCTAACTTAACAAACACCAAAGTTATGGCATTTCCGATCAATCAGTTATATAGCAGCTATAGGATATAGTCGGCCGATCCTTATGAAATTTGGTACGTCGTACTGATTGGCCAAATATAAAACCCATAGAAAGTCCCAACTTCCTAACTTAACAAACAGCAGAGTTATGGCATTTCCGATTAATCAGTTATATGGCAGCTATAGTATATAGTCGGCCGATCCCGGCCGTTCCGACTTATATACTGCGTGCAAAGGAAAGAAGGGTGTGTGCAAAGTTTGAATTCGATATCTTTAAAACTGAGAGACTAGTTCGCGTAGAAACAGACAGACGGACAGACAGACGGACAGACGGACAGACGGACAGACGGACAGACGGACAGACGGACAGACGGACAGACGGACATGGCTATATCAACTCAGGAGGTGACCCTGATCAAGAATATATATACTTTATAGGGTCGGAGATGTCTCCTTCACTGCGTTGCACACTTTTGACCAAAATTATAATACCCTCTGCAAGGGTATAATAAGATTGAATTTTTGAAACGGAAATATAAACCACTTTAACTAAAACGGATTTTACTTCAAACTTCTAAATTTATTGGTCAACTTTACTTTATTAATCTTTTGTTGTGTATTAACCGAATACTAAAACCAATACTATTTTATGATTCTCATTCATGTGTTGTGTTTTGCAATTTAGTATCTTAACCCTTTTAACACTCATCACTTAACTGTTTTTCCGGAATCAGCTGAAGGTTTCAACGATGCTGGGTGATCGTCGGTGATCCTTCCCCCAGCGGCTTCTCCACTCGACTAAACGCTCCGCTGGCTTTTGGCGCTTTTAAAGTGACAACGTTTTCTCGTACTCCGACGTCTGTGACGTCACGAAACGTGCGCGAAAAATAATCGCATGAAAGTCCAAGCAGTCTGCTATAAAACCGCCAACGAAACACTGCTATAAAAGCAAAAGCAAAATGTGGTATTACAAAGGCAGATATACAAAGTAAATGCAAAGATTACCGAACTTTTAAAGGGACCAAACCTTTCAACTAAGGCTTTACATTGATTGTTGACTAAGGTCGGGGTTTTTATAGCTGTTTCTTTGATAAGATGGCTCAATTGATTAGCCACAAACGGGTTTTTGCACTCTAATTAAATAAATTTTGTATTCTAGCATTTGATTCCGTACAGTCTTGGCCTTGTCGATTTTTGTGCCAAGTTTTGAAGGTTAATTAGTTCAGAATTTGCCACATATGTGTAATTCAACTATTTATTTTTCAGGAAAAATATTGTCTTAAATTTTACAGTATTTAAAAAACAATATTAAACATTTAAAATTGTTTAACTTCACACTGTCAAGATGTTCGTGGGGTTCCACAAATTGATATAACAAATTCCAATTAAATTTTAAAGAACTTTCGTTTAGATACTTCAAATCTTAAAAAAAATATACATATTTCTAAATAAATATGATTTAAGTTTCCGAAAAATACTACATTTTTTATACTTTCCTAGCAATAACTACAGTGTTATTTTTTAATTAAGTAAAACTTTCTTTTTATGATAAGTATGTATTAAATTGCACAAAACTTATTGTAAGGGGACTTCCATTCCAGGAGCTCTGCAAATAAATCACCACGAAACTTATAAGTGTTAATCATCAATCCTGTGAAGTAGTAAATTATCTAATCACCTAAGAACCCCCCTTTAAAATCTTATCTGAAATCTTGACCACCTGGGACCTATAAAAGCTGTTACCAGATGGTGATGGCCACAACACTTCCTCAGTCAACGATCGAATCATGTTTTCAACCAAGAGCATTGTAATTGTGGCCGTAGTCCTCGTCCAGTTGGCGACTCTCATCCAGGGAGGAGTCTACAGCAATGACGACAAGTGGGTGCTCCTGGACAAGACCATGGATCTGCCGGAGGAAGCGGTTCTCGGTGGCTTCGATCCCAGTGGCTACTACAACTACGTGGGTCGTGTGTCAAACAGCGGTAATATTCTGCCCGCTAGAGTTGTCCCGGAATTGGGAAAGGCCACCTACAATACGGACAGTTACGGCAACCAAGGCACAAGCTATGAGGTCCTGGTGTCCAATGCCACCGTCAGCTACCACTGGATTCGCAGTTTCGATGGCTACCGGGAGAAGAACGCCGTATCCGTGGGAACCAACTTCTCCAACGATCGTGTCTTCATCTGCCGTGTCCGTTGCGACGAGGGTCTCTTCATTGGAACCCTTTACCTCGCCAAACGGATGTGCAGTGTCCAGTACGAAAACCTGCCTCTCCGCCAGTTCGACAAGTACGAGATCCTCGTCAGGGAGCGCCATGTGGCTGCCTTCTCTCCTTTTGTAGATGGGTACATTGCCCAATGAATATTTCAAAATAAATTACCTATTTATTGAACGAAAACACATCGTAAACATTTATTTATTTACTTTGGCAGCAACATAAATTCATAATGGATTTCTGATGATGGTTGGGATAGAATCTTTGTTAAAGTCTGTCAGTCAAATTAGTTTTTATATTTTACAAATATTTTTAAACAACAGGAAGAAAATGTTTTAAGCATATTTTCTTGACAGTTCGAGTCCTAATAAAAATGGATTACAAATAGTAATTGCTGTTTTTATTATCTTTTTAGCTAAGTAATTCGTTCGGTTTTTTGTTTTAAGGCAGTTAGACTATAGCAGTCAATCAGAATTTGAATTTGTCATTACCGAATCATGTTTTTTTTATAATATTTTTAAAGCTTAAAGAAAAACCTTGATTTAAGGCCAAATCTGCTTTTATTTTTAGGAAGAGAGGAAATAAGTAAGTTAAAAAACTTAAATTTACAAAGCCTACAACTTTTTCATCAGCATTAACTGCAATGTCTGTTAACATGCAAACAAGTCTGAAAGTTAAATGTAAACGTCCAACTTATTTTATATTTTATTTAGCTTTGTATTCTGAATATGTAAGTTATGAATTAAATATTTTAGATTTATACAGATAATTTTTAAAGAGGCTTTCTAACACTACACGTCAAGGGGACTTTAATTACAGGAATTCTTCTAGAATTTACTAAGCCTTACTAAGAATTGACAAACTAACCAAATATCTAATCTATGAGTAAACCCCGAAGAATGATTTACAATATGAGAACATTTGCCCCAAAAGCAGAAAAAGCTATACAAATTGTCGTCAAATGGAGTTGGTCATCCAAGCATCGACTCACCCAAGAGCTTAGTAATTCTAGCCGTAGTCCCCCGTCAATTACGAAATCCTGGTCAGAAAGCGCCATGTAGTTCCTTTGCAACCACACGTACTATAGATCGAAACATTGTACACTGAGTGCTAGCAGATAAAATACATATTTATTGATCAGATACATTTCTTTTGTGTTCCTAATTGATTTGTCTTGTTAACAAATTTGGGCTAATTTCACCAAGTTTTTATGTATATCATTTTTATTTCTTATCTAAGTGTAAGTGCCGCTTTTTATTTATAAAACAAACAAGAAAGGAACAAAGCTTCAACAAGTTAATGTTTATATACCCTTGCAGCTATTACAAAAATAAAATATTCTATAAATCGAAATGACAGACGGACTTGACTCTCCTAGTGAGGTTTATTAAGAATATACATATATATTTTAGAAAATCGGAAATATCTCCTGACGCAAACTGAAATAATGACTAAATTCACTGAAATTTTAATACCCTCTGCAAGGGTATAAACATTATAGACCAATGTTTTGATTCTTCAGAATTGTTTAGACTTCAGGGAAATGGTTTAGACTTCTACAATAAACGGAGAACTAAAATTTTAAAATTTAAATTTTAAACTCGCAAGATTATATTATTAAATTTCATATCTAGCTATAAAATGGAATTTACACAAAAATTTTATTTTTATAAAATATTACGTGATATTCCAAATTGAAGTTGTAATGTTAATATTTTCTTATTTTTATTTCGAAATTTCCTTTAATAGTCACCGTATTAAAAGATTATACAATAAACTAAACTTATGAAATAACACCAAAGGGGCTTTTTTTAATTCCAGATATCTGAATTTCGAAGGTGCAATAAAACTGCGAGGCGAAAGTCTTAGGTTAGTCACCGAATCCGATGCTATCAATACCAATCTCCGATAGCGATAAGTGAAATAGAAGTCCGAAGATAAGGAGCGACTATAAAAGCAGTTAAATTGTTGGCCAGAAACTCAAAGCGAATCAATCAGCCCGTCAAGATGTACAAAGTTGCTTCATTGGTTTTGGCCCTGTTCGCAGTGGTTTACGCAGTTCCTTCGGCATATGGTGAGGAATATAGATAAAGGAGGCTTATCTGAATGCCAAGTAATACTTTGTATTTCTGCAGATACCGTGCACGTGTGGAGGGCTGGAAACCTGTCGTACACCGTTCCCGAAAATGCAATTTTGGGTGGATTCGATCCCTATGGCTACAACACCTATGTGGGCCGTGTGAAGTACGTTAATGATGTCCTGCCCGCTCGTGTTGTTGTGGAAACTGGTACTGCTTACTTCAACACCCCCACCGCCTCCTCGAAGCTCCTTGTATACGACCTCCTGGTGGCTGAGCGCAATGTGAACTACGTCTGGGTGAGGAGTTTCGATGGGTTCTTCGAGAAGGGACTCGTTGCCGCCGGCACCACGAGCAAAAATGAGCTGTCGTTCTTCTGCCGGGCAAGGGCCGATGCAGGATACCTGATCGGCACCCTTCTCCTCAGCAGCCAGAAGACGTGCATCATCAAGCACGAGTCCCTGTCCCTACGTAAATTCGACAAATACGAGGTGCTGGTGGCCCAACCCAAGGGCAATGGAACCCTCTACTATTAATGACTAGGAAAAAATATAGCGGATTCTTGGATTCCCGCTAAAAATAAATAAAACATAACTTATTTGAAAAATGTTGTGTATATTACCTTACACAGGTGGAACAAATTTACAAGGCACTTGAAATATTCTTAATACATGACATATTTATTAAAATATACAAGTTTCCTTTACAATATACAATTTCCCAAAGTTAAATATAAAAGTATTCTTATATTTTTAAGGGACTTCAAGTTCCTGTTAAAAATACACCTCAGATAGTTTTGTTAACAGTTTGATTAACTCGGAATAAACATTTTTTAGATTGGGAGGGCTGTTTTAACTAAAATGTATTCCCGAAGCTTAAAGAAAAGCTTAATTAATAAAATATAATATAAAAAGCAATAATAATAATAGCTTTCATAATAATTATTATAACCAGTTAGAAATCCTTCACAGGGTTTTTTTTCTCATAATGATGGAAAGCAAACAAATAAAAAAACGAAGTTTAATAAAAGATTTTAGCAGTTTATTTAAACAACATTAAATAATCTTTAATAGATTATTTCATAACTAAATATAAATAAGACAATCAATATAATTTGACAGTGTTTATCAACATTTTTCTATTGGTACAAAAAAATTAACAAAATCTCTAACTAATTTTCATTTGATAACAATAAAATCTGCTAGCGAATATTGTTTACCAACACAAATCTCAAACCAAAGATCTTATCGTGTTTTCACAGGAATTTATACTACACTAACCTTCAGTATCATACAATTAATTAAACCCTCAAATTATATTATATTTCCGTTAAATACTTTGTAAACCCATTTGATTGACAAAGATCTCTTCCGTTGATTATTCGATTGATTTAAAGGGGGTTTTGCAATTATCAGCTTTCACAGAAGTGATCGATAAGATAAGAAAGGGGATAGCCTATTTGACACTGGTGCTGTAAAGACATTACTCAGATACGTTTACGGTTTGGTCAAACTAAAGCTATAAATTATCTAAATTGGTTTGCTCCAAACTCTCGATTCACAATGAGTTGTCTAGAAAAAACCACTGTTTATATCAACATATGATTATTTTGAACTAGCATATTAGTATTACAGTATAGGATAAAACTTAGGAGTTTAATTGTTGGTATTGATTCTGAAAAGAAATGAAAAAATATATTTATTTATTTTTTATAACTTCAATTTAGATAATAGGTAATTCATTAACGGCATAGCTTTCAATTATTGAAATAATTATTTTATTAAAAATTGAGTAAATTTTATTTTAAAAATTACTCTGGAAAATCATCTGTTTTCATATTTTATAATCAATGCACTATATTTTCTTTACTTACGCTTATCTCAAATTTAGAGAAACCACCGACTTGTCAAGACGAATCCAAGAAAAAAGGTAACGATTTTCATCCGCCCCGTGGTCCCCGAACTGGAGGCCTGTTCGTCCTGCCACCAGGTCCACTCATCATGATAGAACCGGGGGTTGCAATCCGGATCCGATGGCTTATTGTTAGGAGGATGGGCCTCCTTGGCAAACTGCTGGATACGCTGCCAGAGATCCAGATAGATAGTCGTATTTCGATACTCCTCATACAGGTTGCTCTGCTCACAGGGATCTGCCTCGATGTCGAAGAGACAGGGTGCCTGGAGGGGCAAACAGGGCTTGATGCCAGTCGCAGGTTCCGGGCACTCGATCCTGGCCTGATCCCTCAGCTCGCTGATGTTGCGCTCCCCGGCGGAAACCAGCTGTAACTGCTGCCAAACACTAGTGTTCCGGATGAGATCCTCGTAGTCCCCGGAACGGGGATCCTCCTCACTGGTCTCCCTTCGACCCAGCCAGCCGTCGTAAATGCCGCCACTGGTGGTGCCGCTGATTACCTTCCACTTGCCACGCGTATAGGACAGATGGGGCTCCGCCACATCCTCATCGATCACGTGGACAATCTCACGCTCCACCGACTCGTATCCGTACTTGAGGGCCGACCAGAGGTTCAAGCCATCCAGGTGGAGCGCCGGATCCGGAGATATTCCAGCTGCAGCCGCCAACGTGGGCAGCAGGTCGCCAATGTAGATCTGCTGTTTCCACACGCTGCCCAGGCGCTCGAACTCAGTGCTCCAAATGGCCGCCGAGGATCGCAGGCCGCCCTCCCATGGGGAATTCTTTTGCTGGAATTAAAGAAAATGCAGCAATAAATAAAGTTATTAAAGATTAATATTGCCCCACAAGCGTTCTATACTGCGAACTGAATTCGAATTGAAACGTTTTTCTAAACTAAGAGCGCCCTATACCATTCAAAAATATTTATATGTGTATCATAATAAGTATTAGATAACAAGCATTCTCTGAAAATAAACGAAAACTGATTGTTAGGTATTAAGTTTTTAATTTCGGCAAATTTTTCATTTTTTACAAACAAATATTTTGTATAATAAAGCAAAGAAGATAGAATGGTGATTAAAGTTAATGTTAATATGGAGAAGTCATTTTCAAAATATTGTGTTATTGTTTATGGAATAAGAATTAGAATTAGAATCTTACAAATGTTATCTAACAACGGACTTATGTGAACGTTCTCATAACTTCTTAATTGTTTATTTTATTACTGCTTTTGATGGTAGTTATTTTTATACCCTTGCAGAGGGTATTATAATTTTGGTCAGAAGTTTGTAACGCAGTGAAGGAGACGTTTCCGACCCTATAAAGTATATATATTCTTGATCAGGATCAATAGGGGAGTCGATATAGCCATGTCCGTCTGTCCGTCTGTCCGTCCGTCCGTCCGTCCGTCTGTCGTCTGTCCGTCTGTTTCAATACCATTTGGAGCTCAGTTTAAAAGCTAGCGATCTGAAACTTTCACAGTCGTCCTAAAACAAGTGTACGCAGATCAAGTTTGAAACCGCCCCGATCGGATGTCTATATCATATAGCTCCCATAGGAACAATCGGATATAACTTGCAAGAATGGAAGATATTTCGCGCAGTGTAAAAGCTATTGACATAAATCTTTCCAAATCTTATTTTTATGCGTACCTTGATCAGAGTAAAAGGCGTGACGATCGGACGTCTATATCCTATAGCTCCCATAGGAACAAAAGGGTAAAATCGGTTAAAATGTAATGATTTTTAGGATATTTCACGCAGTATACAAGCTATTGACATGATCTTTCCAAATCCTATTTTTTATGCTACATTGATCAAGGTGAAGCGCGTGCCGATCGGACGTCTATATCCTATAGCTCCCATAGGAACAATAGGGTGAAATCGGTCAAATTTGATGATTATCAGAATATTTCGCGCAGGTGTAAGCTACTAACATAAAATTTTCCAATTCTTATTTATTTAGCATATCTTGATTAGGGTAAAAGCGCTTGGAAGTCTATATCTTAAAGGAGATAGGAAAATTGTTAAAGGCTGTTTAGTTTACTTATGTATACCTTTTCTTTTTTTCACTTTTAGAATTTCGTCAAAGTCTGCAAGGGTATTAAAATTTTAGCTTGTCTTTTGAATTATAATTCATTAATTTAATTTTACTCACCCCTCTTAATGGATAGTTGGAGGCGGTGGTTGAGTGCTGTCCCTGAGTTGGCCCACCATTATCAGATAGGAAGAGCACGATGCTGTTTTGGAGCATTTCCTGCCTGGCAAGGGCGTCTATAACCTTTCCCACACTCTTGTCCATTCGCGACACCATCGCCGCATAATAACGATGGGTCTCATTTCGAATATATCCAAATTGGGCCAACTCATCTTCAGGTGCCTGCATTGGACTATCATCATTTGCCGCGTGGGGAGCAAGGTGACTCAGAAGCAAAAATAGTGGCTGGCTATTGTTTTTCGATCCCTGATCCTCGATCTCCTGGACAGCGGCATCGGTGAGGACATCGGTGACATATTGACCCACCTGCTCGTGGGTGGCCTTCAGATTGTCGCGAAAATCGTGGCCATTGTAGCCTTTGTTCTAGGCAAAAAAGAATCAGTAATATTAGCGAAAAATTATTAATTTATTTAACAACTAAAGAAAATAAATGGTATTAGAAATCTTATCAAAATCAAATAATATACATTGATAAATAAAGTTCAGGCATTAGTTTTAAAAATGTTTTGAGGTTTCATTCTTCTTGAAATTGTTTGAAACCATGAAATGCCCTGATTTCAGAAAGAGAATGGTCTACTTTTTGGCGGCTTTATGAATCTTGTAAATATGGGGTCAGCTAAAAATATATGGCTTTCTCACCGTTTGTTCATAAGTCTGGCTGTAATAATCCACATATGCTCCAAGGTAGCCCAAGTGGCGATCGAATCCTCGTTGAGTGGGTGTAAAATTGCGCTGCGACATTCCCAAGTGCCACTTTCCCAGGAGACTAGTCCGATAGCCATTTCCCCGGAAAACCTCTGCCATGGTCGTCTCGTTCAGCGGAAGACTCCAAGGCTGATCGTTTACGATCACATAATGTTGCATACCTGAAGCACAGATATAACTTATAATTAAGGTTCATAAAAATGAATTTCCTAATTAAAATATGTACCATTCCGTGAATGTATCATGTGATTAATCAACAAATCTTTACTTAATTGATTTTTATACCCTTCCAGAGGATATTATAATTTTGGTCAGAAGTTTGTAACGCAGTGAAGGAGACGATTCCGAACCCATAAAGTATATATATTCTTGATCCTTCCGTCTAGCGATCTGAAACTTTCACAGTCGTCCTAGAACATGTGTACGCAGATCAAGTTTGAAAACCGACCCGATCGGATGTCTATATCCTATAGCTCCCATAGGAACAATCGGATATAACTTGCAAGAATGGAAGATATTTCGAGCAGTGTAAAAGCTATTGACTTGAATCTTTCAAACCTTTTACCAGAGAAAGTCGTCCTAGAACATGTAACAGCTAGAAGGAAGCGTTTCCGACCTATAAAGTATATATATTCTTGATCAGGATCATAACCGAGCATGAATCTTTCCAAATCTGTATTTTTTTCTGTCCGTCTGTCATGTCCGTATGAAGCGCTGAGATCTCGGAAACTATAAAAGCTAGAAGATTGGCATTTTGCATGTAGATTTTGAAGTTCCTACGCAGCGCAAGTTTGTTTCAAAATGGTGCCACGCCCCTTTAAGCCCACAATGGTTATATACGATTTTAAAATTTAAATATTTCGGAAAAGTAAAATGCGTTTTATTGTGTTCTATCAATACCTATCGAAATGTTGAAGAAAATTTTCAAATCGGACCATTCGTTAAAAAGAATATGCGTAATCAAATTTTCTCCCCTCTCCCTTTACCTGAGTAACGGGTATCTGATAGTTGGCACCCGACTATAGCGTTTCTCTTGTTTTTTATGCATATACATGATAGGGGAAAAGGGGGGAAGAGAAAAAAAGGGGAAATTTTTCCAAGTCTTATTTATTTTCAAATATTTCGCGCAGTTTGTAAGTCTTATTTATTTGATCAGGGTAAAAGCGCTCGCTTCCGTAGGAAAATTGGTTAAAATTTGCGAAAATATCCCTTTTTTCCTATTTTTATAGGATTTTTTGGCAGTATAAAAGCTATTGACATTCATAGTTTTTTTATGTATACCTTATTCCCTTCGCTACTTTTTCAATTTTGGCAATTTCGGCAAAGTCATAAAGGGTATTATTATTCGGCTTGCCGAAGTTAGCTTCCGTCATCGTTTTAAATGGTTTATCTTTTGTCTTTCTTTTAACTTCACATTTTACCACCTGATCAATGACTTGCCTGTATTAATGGGGTATTTGCCAGTCAAAAGAGCAGCCCGACTGGGCGTGCACATGGGGGCGGCATAGAGATTGTTCAGGATCACTCCGCTATATGCCAGAGCATCGATGTTGGGTGTGAGGAAGTTGTTGGAGCCGCGGAAACTTACGTCGTCGAAACCCTGTCGGTATATCACAGCCAATCGTATTTAAAACTATAAAACATCGCATTAGACTCACGAGATCATCGGCCATTATAATGATGATATTAGGCCTTTCGGATGTGGCGGTCAGAGAACTGGATAAGGCAATACAAAAAACTAATCCAGCAGTTAACAACGAGGCAATACTGCTGAATTTATCCAGATGCGTTGACATCGCCGTAAATGGAGTGTGGAAGATGTGGGACAGATACTAAAAACAAACAAATGGGAATTAGTGCAAATAAGCATTTTAAAAATTAACATACCGAATGGGCGACAAGTGAATGATGGATGAGCTCGTCAGACCGTTCCGGATATATTAGCAATATAATGACTCCCAATTTAACCTATTTCATGGAGTTTTTACTAGTTAATTTTCGGAAATTTACAGTTTAGCTGTTTCTTTGAAGCTTACATAAATAAATTGAATAAATAAAAGAACTGATAACTGAAAACGGACATCTCGGCAATAGGCATTTACGGCTATGTTTTCAATAAATTGGGCGTTAAAGTGTTTTGTTCCCACAACAATTACGAATAAATGCAAATGAGATGAGGCTGGGAATTAGTTAAATAGGAAATTGTGTGTGATCAATGTAATAATAAAACTTTGGCTTGAGAATACACTTGTAGTATTGTATTGGTACAATGGCTTTTTTTAAAGTGCTCAAAAAATTACATAAATTATCACCTAAACTAAACCATATTTAAATATTTCATTTCAAACAAAAACAATTTTAGGAGCACTAAATCGCTTCAGTACAATATTACAAGTGTTTATTATATGTCATTTATTTAACACGTCAAGAGTAAACAATTATAATAATAATAATTTTAAGTACACACTTAGTTATTTATTCTTAACCGTTTTTAGAATAAGCTTATTTATTTCCTTTTATTGTTTTCAGCTCCAAGCCAATAAATATAATCGTCGAAATCGTATTTGATTATTGGGCTCGTATGTTATTGCCGAATCATCTAATTCTGTTCACACACTTTTATTATCGCCAGCGACAGACAAATAAACATGTTCCCCGAAAGAGAATAAAAGGAATCCGAACAACAATGGGCTTATCAGCTAGATTCGTGCATGCCAAATCCACTCACAGATATTCGCGATCGGGTTTTATTATATTCCGTGTTCTGATCTCTGATCCGCCGGACTCGAAGTGCGGAGAGTAACTGACTGACAACTGAAAATAATTTGATACTGCCTTAAAAGCCAGTTACCGGTTAATATATATCCCCTTCAAATTAACATCAAACCAGCTTTAGTGTGGGTGGTATTGAAAGAGAAGGAAAGAGAGATCGGTAGCTCTTAACTAAATTCTGGTAGATTGGCGATTGTTGCATACTTTTCGGAGCTTGAAAGTATTTGAGGCACCGACTACTTAAAAACTTTAACAATGATGTACAAAACATAGTTTTATATGGTTTATTGAATTTTATTTTTACCATCGTTTTGTTTTTATACATTTGTTTTTATATTTTGACACACAATTCATAACTTACCAAGTAAAACAAATACAAAGTTTAGTCATCTTCACACTCCCACTCACACTCACATTCACATTTACTTTCAACATTTTCCGCTTTATTGGATGTGGACGTGGATGAGGATGAATATGAACGCCCAATTCCACCAATAGCAACAACTATAGCACAGCCAACAGGTCCTGGACTGCACTTTTTATACCCTTGCAGAGGGTATTATAATTTCAGTCAAAAGTTTGCAACGCAGTGAGTCGATCTAGCCATGTCCGTCTGTCCGTCTGTCCGTCCGTCCGTTTCTACGCAAACTAGTCCCTTAGTTTTAAAGCTATCTGCTTGAAACTTTCCCAAAAGTTGTCTTTCTATTGCAGGTAGTATATAAGTCGGAACGAGCCGGATCGGGCGACTATATCATATAGCTGCCATATAACTGAACGATCGGAAAAGCCATAACTTTTGTATTTTTAAAGTTAGGAAGTTGGGATTTTCTATGGGTTTTATTTTTGGCAAATCAATCCGACCTATCAAATTTCATAAAGATCGGCCGATTTTATCATATAGATGCCATATAACTGAACGATTGGAAATGCCACAACTTTGGTGTTTTTAAAGTTAGGAAGTTGGGACTTTTTATGAGTATTAAGAATGCATCATATGAATAATTTTGGAGAATATAATTTACAGGATATTCTGCAAGGGTATATCAACTTCGGCTCCGCCCGAAGTGAGCTTTCCTTTCTTGTAATTAAATTAAAATCGGACATCATTATCATATGGCTCGCATAAATAAATCGAAAAACTAAAAAAAATAAAATTTTATTTTTATTTATTTACTATATCAGAATTACGCTTTTAGTTTTGTCAAAACCGGACAACAATATCACATAGCTGGCATAGAAACGGTGCCAAAGTGCAGCGCAAAATCGACATACATAGGTTCATTGTTTTTAGTAATATAGGCATTGAAATCGAAATGTAGTCGCTTTTTAATAACTGCCAGGGTATATAAACTTTGGCTTGCCGTAGTTAGCTTCCTTTCTTGTTTTGTCTAAGAACGTTATCTTTGTTTTAACAAAAAGCTGCTGACCCAGATGAAACCCGGTGGGGTGCGACATGAAGAACACCGCAGTATGTTAAGCCCACACTGATGCCGACGATAAATTAAATCGTAGATTCGATTTGCTTATATAAACGCTGTAATTTTTATTTTAATAAGGCAATTTAATAAGCAATAAGCAATCATACCACAACTAAACATTTCAATTAGGGAAAAAAAAGGTTAAGGAAGTCTGATGATCGAGACCGTCTCGTGAAAAACTTTCCTATTCCAGACCAGCATCAACAATCGAGTCTTTCTCGTGATCTAACGATTTATTTTAAGCAAAATTCCTAATCAGGCTGTACCTCGTGTTGGCAGAAACGTATACTAGAAAATAGATGTTTAACAAAATATTATATTAAACATTAGTATTAGTAGAACAAACACATTTTTTGATGTGCGATCGGTATTTTTTTATACATTGACGTTTGAAATGAAAACGTCCTTTAAATCCATGTGACTGGTATTTTAGACTTAACTTGACTTAACCGACAATTATTTCGATCGGGACTCATCGGAAGTCCTTTTAAGGCGAATCCTCCTGCCATCAATCAGCATTTGAGAACTAGCATCCAATTTAAAACACGAACTTTTTGTGATTTTGTATTTGAATTATTAAAATAATGGTAACAGTGTTGCTAAGCTATAAACAAGAATTGGTTCTAAGGGGTGTCAGGATGGGCGTGGGTTTAACTTTAGCCTGCGATCTTCAGATCCAGAACTTGAATTTCTTGCCGCCCTTCTCCCCTTCTTGCCGTTCTTGCACCCCTGCCCTCCCCGGACTCCGAGGACCCCTGTGCCCCTTTATGGTTCCGTTAACTTTTGGTCTGGTTATTGTATGGCGAGGGATTTCTATTGCTTTTATACCAGCTCTTGCACCTGGGCTTATACAGAATCATGAGATGCCACGCCACCTCTTCAAAAGTGTGTCAGCCAAAGCAAGAAAACCGTTTTTGCGCAAACAAAAATTTGCAACATTGAGTTTTTTGCACAATTGATTAAACAGCCAACATAGAACTTTTAACTTGCGATATTTATTTTATTTTGAGCACAAATGAATGATGCTGGCTAAGTATATAATTCCAAAATACCTTTTTGTTACTGAACGATTTGGTTTGAAAGTCCTTGGCGAAAATCCAATTTATGTTTACCAACACTAAAACGTATTTAGACCCTTTGTACTTGTAAAATATATGTACTGACTAAAACTTGTTGCCTAATTACGTATAAATATGTGGTACTACTCTGTAGTACGAAACATGTTAAAAATCGGTCTTCAACAACATAAGTACTTTTAAAAGTCCTCTGCTGTTTAATAAATTTGGGCTTACCTTATATATTTTATAATCAAATATCGAAAAATAAAAACAGCTTTTAGTGAATGCGGATCAAAGCATTTAAAAGTATGCCACTTTTAAATATAAATTCAAATTTAAGGTTTTGGTATTTTTCTTATTTATATATTTTCTTATTAAACTAAATATTACAGCGTTGCTATAAACACTAAATTGTCTATACGCGGTGTTCTTAATTTATTATCGGGAATCCTTCCTGAGCTTAGTTTCCTTTTCCTGGAACGTCGTCCTGACCTTCTTGGTCGCAGTGGATTCAGGCAGATCGAGAGTTCGAGTTCTGCAGTGATCTTCATGTCGCACGCCTCTGGGTTTATCCTCATCTGCCAAACTGTGTCAGCCGTTTTGGGCCAAAACAAAGATAATGATTTTGGCAAAACAAATAAAATTCGCAATTGTTCGCTTCAGCGCATTTGTTTAAACAGCCTAGAAAGTGAAGTGCAAATATTTACTTAAATTGCTTCTGATGTGTGAGACTTTATAAGTTATGTATTCCGTCTATGAGATTTGGGGGGATTATATAACAGAGCGATTGAGTATAAAAGGCCATGGCGGTGTGGCTCAAATCATCAGTCTCCCATCCACTGGCCATCCAACATGAGGTTCACCTGTGTTCTTTTGCTGTCCACCACGGTCGTCTGCTGTCTGCTGATCGGGCAGACCAGTGGAGCCACTCCCCCGCCACGGCCACCACAACCACCACGGCCACGGCCACCACAACCACCACGGCCGCCACAACCACTGTCGCCGCGGACACCACCACCACAGCCACAGCCACCACCACCTCGGCAAGCGGCACCAAGAAGATCTATGTTATAAACCGTACAGGGAATACCACAAAACCAAAGGTAGTAGGTAAAATCCATGGCAAACGCAGGAAACCAAAAAGAGGCAGCAGCGAAGAAAGCGGCAAATGGAGCAAATGGGGCAAATGGTAAATGAGGCAACAGAGGCAGCAAGAGCGGCAAAAGCGGCAAGAGCGGCAGAAGGAGCGGCGACAGTACCCGCAACCGTAGAAATCGACGTCTCGAGTACCTCCTTGACTCCATCTAAAGGACCCCCACCACACACTACCCACCAATCTGATCTGATCCCGATGACTACATTGACTCTTTTTTTATAGTTTTTATTTTTGATTACAATTAAGGCAAATACATAATATCGATATTAACTGGTGATGATTTTGTATGGCGATTTTTTGTCCACGCACTAGCAACTAGGGATTTCAAATAATTTAAATTTTAACTTCTTTAAAAACTTGCTAAAGACGGCTAGACTGTGCATTAAATCGATTGGGAAGCTGCGTCCTTCAGGTCACTTATCCCCATGCGTCTCAGTTCCATCTTAAAACAAGAGAGAACGCTATAGTCGGGTGCCCCGACTATCAGATACCCGTTACTCAGGTAAAGGGAGTGCGAGGGAGATGGAGATAGAAACTTTGATCACGCATAACTTTTTAACGAATGGTCCGATTTGAAACATTTCTTCTACATTTCGATAGGTATTGATAAACACAATAAAACTGCATTTTTACTTTTCCGAAATATTTAAATTTTTAAAATCGTATATAAGCGATTGTGG